GTGTCAGCATATTTTTCAGCTTGGAGATAAACAAATGGACCTACCGGATTATGAATCGTATTATGAATCACTGTGTCGCGTGGTAATTATCAGTTGGAGCCGTATTTCGAGAGGCGGGTCGCTAGGTGAATTAGAGTATAGCTAATTAACCCACAGTTTAAAGCTCGTTAGCAAGCTTTGTATTGTTCATGTTCACTGAAGGACTCTTGGTTTTTGGCATAGCTAATTGGCTAGATTGAATGGTAATGAATTCAATCGTGTGAATCTTAGTTAAAGCCCTAGCCCGAAAGCTCGGGGACTCTGACCTCTCCACTGTTCTTTGCCCTTTATACCAGCGGCTGCATGAATACATTGCTGATTGTCACGCAGACTTGTCAAACGGTAATTTCATGCGAGTTATGCATAGTGCATACCTTCGTGCAACTTTCTTCCTGTCACTTATCAATGCCATCCAGCGAAGAACATGTACGGAGTATCAGTATGGTATCACTAATGTGCACTTTCGTTCGGGCTACTTTGTCCCTGTTACTGATATGTAGGTACCGCAACTGGTGACCGTTTAGTGTGGAGGGGCACCTACCATACCAACAGCCCGTCCCGGCAGTCCGCTGCATACCTGCCTGCATGACTGCATATACCCACGAGCGTGGCAACATGCCTGTCCGCGTTATCCACGCTAAGGCACGCGGCGTGCCATCTGCCGCCGTTGGTCAATCTGCGGCTCCAGCGTCTGTCGCTGTTGGTCCATCTGCGGCTCCAGCGTCTGTCGCTGTGTGGTCGGACAGAGTGTATACGTGATGGCGGGGTGTCGCCTCGTTAGGGAGTTAATCAGCTTTATCAGCGCTCTGCGCGGCGCGGACTCAGCACCCGTTTACCAGCACGGCACCGAGTGGCTGGTGGTAAACGGAGCAAGACCGAGCTCCCTAACACTATTGCACGTCATTAGTGGAGTGGTCACCTGTGATCCCCGAGCTCCGATATGCAGGTCAGGTCACCGGCGTGTCCCTGGCTCCTCTGAACTCTGAAGGGGCTACACCGCGGAGGCTCCCGAGAGGTCGTGTTCCCTGGTAAGGGAGGAAGATGCCGAAGACGGCATATAGGTATTCGACAACGCATTCAAAGCAAATACAAGACGATATGCATTATAAAATATAATACCCATCGTCAAAATAAAAATTTGATTGTTATCCAGGAGCTAGGAACCACAACTTTGCGTGCCGTTGAGCTGCAATGCTACTGTAAGCGGCATTTTATGGCAATTTATCAATAACCGTTACAGTTCAGAAGTAGCGTGAACCGTAACGGTCGCGCCGCTCCAGTACCCACACCGTGCACCGCTTTCCTTCAGCGGGCCTTCCATGTTCTTCCGCGTGCATGCACCTCCGTCACCGAAAAGAAATCGATTGTCGCCCACCGCTCTGACACAGGGCGGCTCTCACTTTTGTCCGTGTAATCCGCCGGGCCGCGGTAGCTGAGCTGGCGTCAGGCGCCGGTGTGGCCGCCACGGTCGTTTGTTCCGGGCAGGGAGCGGCCACACTGCCGCGGTGACGTGTGTTTAGCTGTGTTTGTCTGTTTGACGCGCCATCGGCCGCACCTTGGAGTCACCCGCCGACCCGTTACCAGCTGTTTGTTTATCTCGGCGGCGGCGGCTGTCACGCGCCGTTTACACGGATCCCGCCCGACCCGCGGTGGCAGCGGTATGGGGCAGAGGGGGAGGGAGGGTGGCGGCCGAGCCAAGAGAGCGGTGACGCTGGAGCGCGGATAATCAATATGCTCCTTGTGGGCCGCGCCGCAGGAGGCTCAGGCCCCCAGCAGCTCGACAAAGGGATCTGGTTTACGTTATGCATATGAATGGTAATCGTTTGTCACTTGGATGCGTGTGCCAGTAGCTGTAATGTTTATATACCGAGTCATTCATTCATGCTGACTGTTTCCTCTGTATGGATTTTCTTCTTCTGTGGCCAGTTTTCTCGTTGACTGAGCTCCGGATTCGCTCGTTGACGGCTGCCCTGCTCCCTATTCCGCCCTCTGTCGAGCGGCGCAGCGACGGGGGCGGGGCGGCACTCTGCGGCGGCGCTCGCCGGGCGGTCCCCATCATTACCGGCCGCTCAGTCGGCGGTCATTTGTTCCAGGCCGCGGCCCGGCGCCGGCCGCTCGCGCCCCATCTGGCTGCCGCTCGCGCCCTCGCGCCGGCTCGTGAGGACGTGCCGCCGTCCGTCACCAGGCGGCGCCGCGGCCGCCGTCAGGGGGCGTGGCCTGCCGGCGCCGCCAGCTGCCTAACGGTGACGTCACTCACACACGGAGAGAGTGCTGCCAGCGCTCGGCCGAGCTGCGGCTCCGGGTAGTGGACGAGCGGTGTGTGTGAGGGTGGGACAGTGCCGGCGGCGGTGACCCGTGACCTGGCCAGCGGGGCGCAGCTCGTGACCTCACACCATGGAGACATGTCGCGGTAGGTGGCGGCCTCCGGGCGCTGACGGCTGGGCTGGCGCAGCGCGGTCGGCGGCGGTCGCAGCTCGGCGGACGGGTCCATTGTGGGCGCGGGGGGAGCCGACAGCCGCCGCCGTGCGGTCGGCGTTGCACAGCGCTGGCCGGTGCAGCGGGCGGCGGCGGCGGCGGCCGGGTCGATCGGCCGTGACGACGGGCGCCCTCTCGGCCGCCGCCGAACCGCGGCCGCCCGGCGCTGCCGCCGCCACCGCCGCCCCGCACGCGATCACGGGCTATTTCGGGCGGCGGGCCGGTCGGGCGGGCTGGCACCGCCTACCTGGGCTGTGCCGACGGTCGCCGGCCGGCCGGTCATTGTTGGGCCGACCGGCGCCTGTTGGCCGACCGGCCCGCTGACGGCCGGCGTACTGCTGATAGATGTGGGACTCTGGCGAGGATCGCTCCACGGCCCGGCTCGGCACCCGGCGGTTAGATTAGTGTGATGGATGGCTGACAGACGCTCGTTTAGCGTCATTAATGATGGGTTAACGCTATTAACAGATTCAGAAATCCATCTGAATGTCTGAGGCTACTGAGTGCTTCCATATCTACCTCGCGTCATTATCATTCCGACACGCGCGTTATGCACCTGTTACTTGGTGCGTGGGAAACGTTCCCGGTGTTCGCATGGCGTCACGTCACGTTCACGTCACGTCCACGTCACTCATCAACTCCACGAGCTATCGAGTGCGATGATCTGCCGCTGTTGCCGTTCCGGTCCTCTCTGGTCCGCTGACCAGATGATCGGCACGCTCCGCTGCCCTCTCTCCGACAGACGGAAATCAATGTTTTGAGGAGTTTCCTCCACCTATAGCGCCGGGCGCCTTTGTGTGCGGGTCGCCGCCGAGTGGACGCTGGCCGGGGGTGAGACGCACCGTGGCCGACTTTCGCTGGCGCAGTCACGAGCGGTCACGGTGAACGTGATCGTGACACGATGTGGCCAGAAAGCCGCTTTGCTTTGACGTGAATTGACGTGAAGTGGTGACTGGTGCTGATGCGAATGGGGGCGGGGCGCGCCAATCGATCTGCTGTCCGATCCTTAGGTCGGGAGGCGTTGTCGATGGATAGGCCAAGACCGGGGTGCTGTTTGTAGAATGCAGCAGCCTGTTGGAGTGAATTGGAATACGATGTTGGAGTTATTCGCGTTGTTGGATGAGTCGATTGCAGCGAACGGTAGGCGCACTTCTACATCACAGTTGCCGGGTGATATCGTCCCGTCCGACTAATTTGACGACTGATTACCCTCTGTACCGTGAACGTAAAGTGTGCACACTGACAATGACGTCAATGAAAGCATAAAATAAAGAGCAGTGAAAATAGCGAAAGATAATGGATGATGAATGTCCCAGTCCCCTGCCAAGTGCCGGGATTTCGGCTGAGACGGGTATTCATCACGCCGACGCCTCCCTGCCATTGATCACTGCCGGCGGCGCAGGGCCGGGTCTTTGTTCGTGCCGGAGCGGAGTGGCACGAGGCTGGCAAACGGCGGCGCCGGCTCATTTAGCCCGCTAAGGTGGCCGTTGGCGCTCCGTCTGCCGCCGATTAGAGCGGTTAGTGCGCGCCCGTGCGGTCCGTCGGAGCTCTGTCGGTCGGGACGGAGCTGGTGTTGGGTTTGGCGGGCGGCCCGGCCGAGTGGCATCCACCGACAGTCGTCACGCCTGGGAACGGCCACCTGCCGCCGACAGCCGCGGCGACTGAGACACCGACATGACCTGACCTCATCAGGATTCCCTGGACCTGTCCGTGGAACGGTCGTGTACTGATCCGTTTTATCTGTCCTGTGATGTTGTTCTTGTCTTGTCAGCTGTCTCTGTCTTGCCCTATGCTGTCCTACAGCATGTCGCTTATTCGACCCCGTCTCTGATTTCGTCCTTCCCGTCCCATTGTATTCCGTTGTGTCCTATCCTGTTCCATCCCATTCCATTCCATCCCTTTCCGTTCCATGGTCCGTCCTGCATCCCTGACCTACAGTGGAGTCGCGGTGACCGGCTGTGTGACCTGGTGACGGCCGCTGACCCCCGGTCTCTCACTATACAAATGTGTCGGACGGCGCCCTGACAGCTGCCAGCCGCCGCTCGGGACTGTGCCAACACAGTCCGGCGTGACGCTCGTGAGAGGATTTCAGCTTGTAAACCGCGGCTCAGCTATTTCGAATGTGGCCGAGCTGTTTGTTTAGCTGACACCGCCCAGGCCACTAGATAAGCAATCTGCTGGCGTCTCATTATTCTTAATTATTTTATCAACGTCGCTTAGAGTCAACATTAAATACTGATAACATCCGCCGGCCACATCCACAGCCAAATATTCCACTGTGTTGGCACCCACTTTGTAACTAACCAAGTATCAGTGGAACTGTCAGCGCTCGGGCTCATGGTGCTGACGCATGATGACTCGAATAAACAATTTCAAAGCTACCTGCCTGCCCTTTCTAATTTCTACCTCTGTCTTTTCTCATGCTGAGTGCTGGAACTCAACTCTTCCCAGCCTGTTTAACTAACTCGATCTTCCTGTTGTTGCAGAGCAAGCGGGACACTCTGATGGTGAACATCAAGTGGTTCTACCGTGTGTGTGAGCTGCCGGAGAACGTGTACCAGCTGCTGGTGCAGGACCGCACCACCGAGCACGACCCGGGACTGGCCGTTCACCAGCCGGCCGTCAAACACCGCGAGCTCTTCATATCGGACGCCACGGACACGTTCCCTGTGGCCGTGCTGAGGTGAGGGGATAGGGGAGTGGGGGAGGGGTGGGTGAGCTCTATGTTGTGAGAGAAGTGAGAGAGGTGGTTGAGTAAGAGCAGTGAGAAGAGACGTCTTGTGAGAATACAGAAACAGAGGAGTGGTCGTGCTAAGGAAAGACGTGAAAATGGCTACCGTTCTTGGGTAAGAAGACTTGCCTCACTCGGGTGAGAACGGCTGCCGTGCTCGAAGGAGAGGAGTGGAGAAAGACGGATGGAAGGAAGTCTCAGGTGATGGGGAACTTATGCGACTTTTGTGGATGGGATAAGAGTGCTGGGTTGCAGCCCTTGTCCATTACCTACCATCTGTTATCCTGGGCGGGGCGTCGCAATGAAGTGAGGACATTACACCTTGCGCCCAACGCCCTGTCAATGCTCGCTAAACACCTACGTAAGCTGCACTGAGCAGTCGGGACACGAGTACGACTCTCTCTTTCTGCTGCCCAGACTCGCAGGCCGCAGCGGTGCGCGCCGCCGACCCACCCAGCTCCTGAGCCTGCGAGGCGACCATCTCTGATCACCATACCCGTGCGTGAGTTACGTCCGGACCGGGCCGGTGCTGAGGCGAGCCGTCACTCGTCTGCAGTGGTTCGGTGGCGTGCAGAGACCGGCCGCTACTCAATCACTGACGGGTGACACGGGTCCCCGCCCGGTCACGTGGCACCGAGACCGGCGGCGGTAGCGGGCTGATCACTGATCAGTATTCCGGTACAGTGTTCCACGGGTCGGCCAACCGCAGGGAGATGACATCAGGACGGGACGGCCGGTACTGTGGCTGGTCGGCAGGGCGGACCAGGCTTGAGGCTTGTTTCCGAGACGGCCGTGATTTGGAGAGGCGGTGAAAAAGAGGATGATGATGATCGCCGGGATGGAGCTCTTCTCCACCGTTTTCGTATCGTCCTTCCCGCCCTCCGCCTTCCTATCGTTTGTTCTCTCTTCCTCTCTTCTTCTTATTCCTTCAGTAGGCATTCTATAATCCCGCCTGTCTCCCCCCTCTCTCTCTCCCTCCCTCCGTCTCCCCGCTCTCAGTTGATGACCGCAGCCGGTCATGCTGCAGCGCTGGGCTCGCCGCCGAGCGGAGATTGCCGCCTCTCTGATCCGCCGACCGATAGTGGCTGCTGTGATCGGCCGGCTCCGGGCAGGAATAGCGGCGGGATATGGACGCGGCGGGGCCCTGCTGAGTGCCGACGGAGCGGGCGCGGCAGTCTACCAGTCACGACTGAGCTAGGGCGCCTCCGCCCCGCCACCGCTGAGTGCACCTGTCACAACTGAGTGCAGAGAGCATCCCGTGTCCCCGAACTCTGCGAGTGCCGTCTCTTCTCTACCGTGTGCCCGCTGATATGACACCATCGCCACGCTCGCTGTGTCTCGCTCGAGTCTCCACTGTATACGCCTGTCAGCTGTCACGACTGTCACGCACTGTCACCATGCCATGACAGCTGGTGACTGACCATGGCCACCATCGCCACCAGTCGCCGAGCGAGCTGATCTTCCATAACTGATAGCTACAAATATACCGGCGCTACGTCCAGTTGCGGCGGCGCTGCAGCCGTACTGGTATTGACCAGCACGTGTGCAGTGCATGGCACCGTGCACGGCCCGCGCGGCGGCTGGTAGCGCGGTGACCGATGGAGGGTGGTTAGGCCCCGCTACCGGCGGGTGTAGACCGGCGCTTACATACACAATTACACAGTACATACGGCTGACGAATTCCAGCCGCCAGCCGGGCGGTCGGCGTACGACGGCGGCTGGCTCTGATGTGACGACTGATGTGATGGATTGATCTGACGGGATGGTGTGGAGGTGACGTGGTGTGTCTGCCAGTCACCGTGGTCCGCCGCAAGTAAGATGATTTGTGTAAACGTCGTGGCGCCGACCCGCATAGCTGAGTTCAGTGGGGCATGGTTTGACAATATTATCATGTATGTACTGCGCAATGCAACATTGCATATCTAGCCTCGGCTGTGGTTAACAGGTTTGATGTGTCGATTTCCAGCGCTGTTTTGTCAACCTCTTACGATTAGACGCCAGCTGTAATTATTATATGCTATTCAATAACCTCAGAACACCAGCCGTCATCAACGGCCTCACTCGCGCGTTGCGAGCTACTGAGGCTCAATGCTTTGCGTCTGTCTGCATCACTGGTAGTATCCATCGACTGACGATACCTTCTCTCCGGCAGGGGTCCGTGCAAGGTGATCCACTACAGCGACGTCCACAAGGTGCGGGAGTACGTGCCGCAGCCAGACACCTTCTTCTACGTGCTCACCTACAACCCCGAGACTCGCAGACTGGCGTCCACACAGGGAGAGATCCGCGTGGGCCCGTCTCACCAGGTGAGAAACGTCTCACTCAAGGCCTTCTCACCCTGCTCGGTACCCGAGGGGGCGGGGGAGGGAGCGAGGACCGGTTACTGAGCCGTACCGTCAGCTAGTGGCTGTTGGGCCAGGTCGATTGTCGCCAACCGGCGATATACCGGTCTATCGATTTCCTGGCCACTTACGTTGTAGCTACCTTGTAAGGCGCCTTGCATGCAGCTTTCTACTCTTATAATCCTCATATGTCATTCATGGCTCTTGTAATCCCCATGGCGTTTACATACTGATGTAAGTAGTTAAACCCCAACCGTTGTTTTCATAGGGGATGGAGTATGATCAGGGAAAGCTGGCCTGAACAGCTACAATCTGTTTGCTGATTCCGTGATTAACCGACTGTACTAGAGTTTTAGCTAGGTAAACGTTACCGAGTAGATGTTACCTGTGCTCTCTGCCCCACCTAACGCCCCCCCCCCCCGTCCTCCAGGCCAAGCTGCCCGAGTACCGGGGCGGCGCCCACTCGGGAGCCCCGGGCCGGCCGACGGGGGCCGAGGAGCAGCGACTATGGGTGCCCGGCCGCACCGCCGACTCGGACCTGATGATGTTCGTGCGCGCCGCCCGCTCGATGGCCGAGTTTGCCGGCATCTGCGACGGCAGCAGCACCAACACGGAGTTCCGCAAGCCGGCAGAGCGGGATGACACCACGCAGAACGCCCTGGATGTGGTCAGTGGGGAGTGGGCGCGATGGGAGAAGGAGGGGTGAATGTTCCCACTCACTCATGCGTCAAAATTTCTTTACTCATTACTGAATGGTAGGCATTGCAAAGGAAGAACTTCAATCGATGTGTTAGTGCTACAGCTTGTCACTGTATTAATTGGCAGTGATCCAGTTGGTTTGTTCTTCCAGCGTTTGATCTTATGTTATGATTACGACGGTTTTAGGTGTTGTGTTAACATCTGCCAGGCGGTCGAACCTTTAGATGGCTGTCTGACGCTGCGTTTAGCGTCGATAAACATCTGAATCCAGACTCGATAACTCGTCCCTTTACCAGCCTGTCTGTAACCCGAACTGACCCGACCCAACCCGACCTGACCTGTCCTGACCTGACCTGACCTGACCTGACCTGACCTGACCTGACCTGACCCCTCCCCCGACAGCTGCACCACTCTGGTTACGAGCAGGGCGTGGCGCTACAGGCGCTGGTCAAGAGCCCTGTACCGGTGGGCGTCCACCAGCGCTGGAGCGAAGATGAAACGGTAAGCCAGCGGGACGAGCGGACGGGGACGTCGGATAGGGGAGGGCTAACGTGGTGTGATAATGTGCGACTGGTTTTCTAGACGCGACACCGGCTAAGCGGAGATTAGTGTCGTTTGTGAGGAGTACGAGAATGATGCGGTGTTTACACTAAGGCTTGGCTTGTTAGACGATTGTACGGGATAGGAAAACTAGTAATTGGTGAGCTCTGCTGTTTTCTCTGGTTGGCTCCTGTCGTGTTTTGCGGTATGACATATGTTAACGTGTGTTGTGGTTTTCTCTTTCAGAAAAAGTTTGTGAAGGGATTGAGGCAATACGGGAAGAATTTCTTTCGCATCAGAAAAGAGCTGCTACCTCACAAGGAAACGGTAAGCTGGGACCCGGCTCGGTGCCTGTTCTTGTCGCAAAATGCCTAAAATGATGGTTCATGTGCATGGGGTGAAATTGTAAACATTTATTTCATCTAGTATTGGATATCCTTCCCAACGGTGTTGTACATTTTGAACATGAGATAAGATGTGGTATTTCCTGCGCTGCCCCTATGTCGCTTCATTATATTCTTCCCTGGCTCGGGCACTTATTTCTTCCTCTCTCTGTGTCCTTTCCAGAGTGAGCTGGTCGAATTCTACTACCTTTGGAAGAAGACTCCCGGTGCGCAGGGAAACCGACCGAGGAACGTAGCCAGACATCGGCGGACCAACGGCATCCGCCGCATCAAGAGCAGGAAGGGAGCCAACAAAACCACCAAGGATGAGCCAGGTCGGTGGCGTGAGGGACAGGAGACGGGTGGTTGTCAGGTGGGAGGGAGGTCGAATGTTTGGTGTGTATGAATGTAGCGGGACGTTGTCTGTGGGGAGAACTGAGATTTGTGTTGATTACAGAAGCAATCAATGTCGATTGAGCTGCACTACAGTCGGGCTGGTGCAGATAGCGGGTCAATGGTCATTCGAAGGCAGCGGCTAAATGTCGTGCCTTACATTCGTGTCCAATGTATCTCCGTTTGTCTGACTACCCTGTCAGTAATACGCTCTAACTGTACGTTTGTCCCCAGCAGCGGTTGGCTGTGACCTGAGCTCGGCCAGTGAGTGTGAGAACGATGAGTCGGAAGACTCGGACTCTAACCTGCGCGACATGTCCCGGTACCACTGCCGGCACTGCTTCACCACCTGTGAGTACCCCTGCCGTCACTCCGCCGCAGAGTGTTCCCCGTAATGAGAACTCCCACCACCTGTTTAACTACCGCCCCGGGCAGCCGGTACTGCTATTGGTTTACGGGCCGTTTTAACGCCCATCAAATGTACTGCTCGCACGAGCATCCCCAGTCAATTTCCGGGCCGGAAGTGCCTGGCGCGTTTTCCGGGTACCCTCTGTAGGGATGTGGGGTGGACCCGGTGCCAGTCCTCTGCCCCAGTCGCCTCTGACTGGTCTCGTGTGTCGCCCGCAGCCTCCAAGGACTGGCACCACGCCGGCAAGGATCACGCGCTCCTCTGCACCGGGTGTCGACTCCACTTCAAGAAGTACGGTCAGCTGCCGGACCTGAAGGACGCCCAGACCCGAGAGCCCCCGCTGACCCCTCAGCAGCCGGCGGCGGCAGCGGCAGCGGCGGCGCAGGACGGCGGGCGTATGCGCACCAGGACACGCGCCAAGGAACTGGTGAGTACCGCGCCGGGCTCTCTTTATGGGTCTTTGTGTTTCCTTTTCTCCCTCTCTGTCTCTGTCCTCTTTCTCTGTCTGCCGGCCCTCTCGCCGCTCGCTCTCAATTCCTCCCATTCTCTTGCGGTCCTCTTTCGCTCTTTCCATTGAAGTGAGTTGTCTGTGCGCTGTTCCCATTGACACCCGTGTAGAAACTACGGTCTGTGGGTGCGGCGGTGTGGTCCGATGTAGTCAAGTGGCCGCTCGTGTGTAGGTAGCCCGCCCGCCCGGCCGGCCGCCGCCGGCAGTATACTGCCGATCCGGATAGCACGATCGGCACCGGCGGCCGGCGGCCGGCGACCGTCCGTCACTGTCCCGATTAGCGTCACCGGAGCGGTGGCCGCATAATGCGCCCCACCGCCACCATCGCTGCCGCTGCCCGCCACCATAGCCGCTGCCGTAAATGGTCAGCCCTCCGGCGGGCGGGCGGCCGCAGCCGAACGGCCCGCCAGCTAGGGGGCAGTGGGCGAGGCTGCAGTTCGAAATGCCGCTTATAGATGTCGCATTGGGTGACGTTTGGCAGGCCGGTTTGCGGTTCTAGCTTGTCGAGGTGCTACTGTCGAAGCATCGACTTTCTAGTTTCAGGTTATTGATGTGGTGTCCAATTGCAGACAACTGGATGTGGATGGGGCAGTAAACGAATGAGTTGGTGTCATGTTATCGATAGGTCTAACGAACGCGTCATAAATCATGGATGCGTCTCCACACCATCGCACCGCATGCAATAAATTTGTGTTCATGACGAACGCGGGGTCGACCGGCGAAAGACAATTCGTCTTCAGGATATCTGTGACTGGAAGAAGTAAGGTTTTTCGGTTGTATCTATTTTAGGGACCCGAGCTGTGATCTTACATCTACGTTTCTCCAGCAGGGCGCTGCTCTGGGAAGACAGGAGCATAGGCGGCGGAACGTGGGGGGGGGGGGGGGCACCGTGGGGCACCGTGACCCCCTTTGATTTTGACATTTCAACATTAGCCCTATGGGCTTTGCATGGAAAGAATGGGACCAAAAGTCGGCAGTGCCCCCCCCCCCCTTAATTGAAAGTGTTCCGCCGCCACTGGACAGGGGTATGCCTAATACCATCGAAAGTCGATATAAGAGTGATGAGCAGTGCCTGATGGTCGAGAGACGAGATAGCAACATTCTCTGGTGTACCGTGCTGATGTCGTGATTCAGACCCGGCAAATATGACACGTTTTCGAGTAACTTAGCGATCAACATACAACGTGGCTGGTAAAGGCGCCAAATAAAAGAACGGATGTCCGTTGCCCATGGTCCCTTGAGATGATCCTGGAGGGCTGTTCACGGGCCCTGTGTGCGGTCGGCCTCCAAGCTCCGCTCAGTGCGTCCTTACGTCAGCCTTCCGTCACCGCACACAGCGACCGCTGTGGCCGGACGGGACTGGGCCACGTCCACCGCACGCAGCCGTGACGTCAGAGCCGCCTACCGCCTACCAATCCCCTACCCCCACGCCTGCTGGACGTACCGCACACACCGCACGCAGCAGTGTGCGGTGCCCGTGAACAGAGGTGTGCCCTGCCCCCCCCCCCCTTAGTTCTGTAGTAGGTAAAGGGTCGGTAGCCGGCGTGGGGCCGGTTCGCCCGGTGGGTGGTCGTCCAGAGGGTCTGATTGATGGAGCCTCGAGCCCTCGCTCACCCCGCCCCCTCGGGACCACAAAGGGGTACCGGCGACCCCCCGGTGACGGGCCCGTGCGAGTGAGGTTTGCTGACCATGTGACAGCGGTGGGTGGCGTACTAAGTGGCGTGGGACTTTTTGGATTCACATGATCGCTGTCCTAATCCGACCACGTTCTTTAGTAGCATGAACTGTGCATTTTTTTTTTTTTTGTCTTGCAATATATTTAGGGACATTTGCACTCTCACAAATTTAGCCCTCTCGGTTTTTGTTTTGCGTTGTTTTAAGCTTCGTACACCGAGCTCGTGCAGAACGGATGCACAGAAATAGCGTACCAGATATTAGATACCTAACAGTGATTCAGGGCTACGCTACGGATGCACGCGGTCTGTGAATTTCGCGTACCGGCACATGTTGAGTAAATAACAGAAGAAAAGAAAAAGAAATACCATTGGTATAAGGCTGTAAATTGTAAAAGATTCTCGTCTAGGCGGGCGAGAAAACTAAGCCGCATAATCACGACTGACAGCAACACGGTCAATGAAAAACCGTCGGCCGTTGTATTATAAATTATTCTGCCTCAGTTATTCAGTTATTCACTCGCATTCAACATCCATTTATGAATGATAATTTATGTTCACCCATGAACATCTGTCTTTAGAGAGCGTTTGGCACCTGTTACCTAAGTATTTAATTTGCCTCAGCCTATCTACCTTTATTTTTCTACTATGCGCTTACTACGCACCTATTTTTTTGTAACACTCGTTTAGTTTTCTATGCTACTGTTCTTTGTAGTGGAACTATGGCTATTTATGTTGCAAGCTTACAATCAATTCCAAATCTGCGGTTTATCTTGCGGCGATCGGTGATCGGTCCGTCCGGTTCCGGCGTCACCGTGTGACTCGGAAGTGCCGCTCGGACGCCATTGGATGCGGCCATTTCGGGGATTCCTGGAATGTCAGAGGTCGTGTACGGTGTGCGTCCCGCTGCGCCCGTCCCAGGTGTGCGCGGACAGGGGGGTCAGGGGGCGTGTCCCCCCGCTGTGGTCGTAGTGTCAGCGAGGGATCAGCGCTGACGGATCACTGGGTGGTGGTCACCCCCCTCCCCTCTCCCCCCGCCCTCCTCGGGACGCGGTGAGACGGCCGGTCTCGGCTGACCGTGTCGCGGAACTGTAGGGGAGGGGAGGAGGGAGGGGGTGGCGGCTCGGTTCTCGCCCCGGGCGGCGCGGTCGTGTCACCGGCCGGCCTGCCCCGCTGCAGTTTGATCCGCGCAGTGCGGGAGAGTAGTAGTGGTGTTTACTCAGTCGCGGAAACAAGAAATCCCGATCTGATTTTGCACGTGGTGCTGAGGCGGTGTGACGTGTTGGGCGAGCACGTGCAGTGGATAGTGACGGTGACGTAAGAGTGCTGGTGTGCGGCAAAAAGCGGCGACCACGTGGCAGGACGATCGCAACTCTCGCAACTAGTGTAGCGTCCGATCGGTGAAGCGCCATTTGATTGCTAACGAGATAAGTAAGCGAGGTGGAAAGAAGCCGAAGACGAACGATTCCTCACGGAAACAGGGATGGAGAAAGGGACCGTGCCAAGAAACGTGCCGGGAATATGGCGTTGCAATGGCTGTATTGCACCTCTGATCACTGTCCTCATCAACGTCAAGACGGTTGAAATGAGCCGGAAGTGATGCTTCTTTGAAAGTCTGGCCTCAGAAGCGTACGGTTTTATTGTGTTTGACGAAACATCGGACGCATGTTCAATAAGAAATTGTGTTATTTTTTCAATGCCTTGTTCAGTTAGTTGTCGTTCGTCCATGATTCTGATTTCGTGAAGACAAATCTGTCTAATTGAGTTCGATCAGAGGAGAGCATTGGTCAAGGTCGGATCTACAAGACTCCCTTCTGCCCCTGTGGAAGGCCAGAATTTCGGTGCTCTCTTCCCTGCGCTTCAGACTGTAATCCCTGAAGATGCGGCGGCGTCGGTACCTCCAGCTGGCGGCTAACCTGGAGAAGGCTCGCGCGGCACGGCACAGCTACCGCGAGCAGCGGCGGCACGGGCTGGCACGCAGCCTCGAGTGGCTAACCTGGGGCCGCAGACGGCTCGGCGCCGCCGTCTACGGCCGGGACGTGGCTCTGCCGCCGCCGCCCCCGCCGCCGCCCGAGGAGAGTGTGCGGTCCGCGCCCGAGCCGCGGCTGTCTACGAGCACGGCGGATTGGACACGGCCCGAGTTTCAGCCCGTCGTCGTTCTGCTGTCTCTTGTGTGCGAATTGCAGGAGGTATGCCTTCGAGTGGCGGGGGGAGGGGTGACCACTAGGTAATCTATCTGAAACTGCTCAAGTCACGGGGCTTACATTGGCCCCTGACATTAAGAGAGGCATGAAGGAAGGTATACACGATGTCACCGTAGACCGTAGTCTGTGTAGTTCGTTACATAACATCCAGCAATTGCAGCGGGTGGATATTCGTCATCGCGCGCTTCATACCGGCACGGTGCAGCCACTGTTACGGACTACGGTCCCACCCAACGCTACACTATTCGAGTCCACGAGCGGTGCCTCAGTTATGTGGTGTGATTATACAACAGCTGCGTCAATGCCTGCCAAAATGATTTGTTGATATCACAGGTGTGACATGATGACAAATAATGACTAATAGCGCCACCGCTACGTGGCACAAGTTGACGACCAAAGGGTTGCAGTATCTTTCGACGGCTGCACGATGTCAAGTAGTCCAAACTTTTCTTGGCTCTCCAACCTCCGTTCCCGAATGGAAGCTTTGCTCTCAGCTATGCTCTTCCGTATTGACTCATGTCTCCCGATTCTGTATCATCCCTGATTTTATGTCGACATGGTCCGGCTAACTTCGTTTAACTCGTTTGTTATCAAGTGTCTTTATTTCTATGGTGAGGCCCAAAGATAAAATCGAGCCATTCGAGGCTGGTTTTCGCCCTCTGTATCCTCCTCAAATCGTGCCTGTCTCATATTTGTGAACCGACTGCACGGTTCCTACCATATTCGACCCATACTGATGACCCTCGTCCTCGCGCGGCCGAGCACACCCAGCCATGTATCTTAAGCAGTGCATCCATGCATCTCCCACCCACTGACCACCCTGTCTCCTTCCACAGTCCCGCGGCCACCGTCCGCGTCGCGGCGCCAGCGGCAGTCGGGCCAACACACCCTCCGACGCGGGCCGCCAGTCCCCGGGCGCCGCCAGCACCTGTTCGGCCAGCAGCTCCTCGGACAAGTCGCGCACTTCGTCCCAGCGGCCGCGGCCGGCGGCCACCGCCAAACGGGCCGGCACGCACCTCGACACCCCGGACGGAAAGGCAGCCAAAAAGAAGAAGGGCGTCAATTATGTGAGTGGAGAGCTCTTGGGCAGTCAGTGTCGGTCACTTTGTTGCGTACGTACCGTTTCGCTTTTTTATGGCTAATGCAGTCCAGGTGCTCTCACACCCGACAATCACCGGACAAACACAATATTTATCAGAATCTTTTATCGGAACTATGGAAGATTTTGCTGGAAGTCTTCAGCAAGCTCAGTAGCTGTGCGCCAGAAATGGGCGATTTGCATGCCGTTGTTCCCCGAGTACACAGCGTGACCTTATGATGTCATTTCTCGCAGGCGTCGGCGGAGGACAGCCTGAGCGACTCTGCGTCGGACGAGGCGGGCACAGACGCGGCCGACGCCGACCTGCCCTCGTCGCAGACGTCGTCTCCGTCGCTGGACGACCAGCAGGAGGAGCCGCCGCGCATCAAGGCCGAGCCGCCGCAGCCGGCATCGCTGGCCAAGCCGGAGCCGCTCAAACCGGAGCCGCTGCCGGCGGCCGCCCCCGCCCCCGCCCCCGCCCAGCCGGCGGCCACGGCGGCCGCCGATCAGCCGGAGCGGCCGGCCGAGCGAGTCGAGCTGTCAGAGCGTCAGGCGGCCGAGGCGGACCAGGCCGAGCCGACCGAGCGGCTGGAGCCGCAGGTGCCGGCCGGCGCCGGCGCTGCCACCACCTTCACAGAGTCTTCCAGCGAGGAGGACGTGAAGCCGAGCCTGGCGCGCCTGCAGAGCGGCCTGTCCGCCGAGCCGCCGCTGGCTGGGCGGCACAGCGAGGTCCCGGGCGGCGGCCACACCGGTCCGCACGGGCCGCCGCACGGCCTGCCGTCGGCTCTGCACCCGGCTGGCCTCGGGTACCCGGCAGAGGCGGCGGGCGGCTCACCGCTGCGAACGGAGCCCGTCGAGCCCACTGAGCCGGAGAACCTCACTGTCAAACAGGAGCCGCGTAGCGACACGGACGAACCCCACCGGCCGCCCCCGCCCCCGCCCCCGCCGCTGGCCACTGTCAAGGCAGAGCCGCGGCCGGCCGAGGCGGCGCCGCTCGGACCGCTGGTCACCGGCCCGCCGCCGCCGGTGGCCGCGACACACCCGGCGCACCCGCCGCTGCCGCCACATCCCGCCCTGCCACCGCTGCCGCCGCACCCGGCGCCGCCAGGGTACCCGCCGCACGTGTACGGCTACCCCTACCCGTACCCGTACTCTGGGTATCCTGGGTACCCGCCGCGGTCGGCAGCAGGTGCGCCGCCCGCCCCGGCCGGTCACCCCGAGACTCTCGATCTGAGGAAGGCAGAGAGCCGAGAGCCGGCCGCCCCGACCGCCAGCGCCCCCGCGTCGACGGCTAGTAACGCCGTGTCGGTAGTGACGCGTACGTCGACGGTGCCGTCCGCTTCGGCCTCGATGGAGATGGCGGCGGCGGCCGGCGAGCCCCGACACTACCCGTACAGCTACTCGACGAGCGTGTCCTCGTCGGTCCACTACTCGTCCAGTGTCAGCGTGTCGGCCACCACATCGTCCGTGCTGGTGCCGCCTCAGCATTCGGTGCAGCACTCTGTCCACCACTCGGTGCATCACTCAGCGCAGCATCCAGCTCGACATCCTGCTGAGCACCCAGCTCAGCACCCGGCTCAGCACCCAGCTCAGCATCCACCTCGGCATCCAGCTGAGCACCCGGCTCAGCATCCAGCTCAGCATCCTGGTCAGCACCCAGCTCAGCATCCGGGTCAGCATCCGGGTCAGCACCCGACTCAGCACCCAGCTCAGCACCTATCTCAGCACCCACCGCCGCCGCAGCAGCACCCGTCGCAGCTGCCGCCCGTCTCCTCTGCGGCCGCTCCATCGTCGGTGATCACCCAGGCGCCAGCGTCTGTTCCTCCGGGCGCGCCGCCGCCGCAGCCGCCGCCGCCGCCGCTGGCCCGCCCCGCCTCCCCGCCGGCGAGTCCGCGGCCTCTGGCGCTAACCCCGAACCAGCCTCCGGCGCGGCCGCCGTCCACGCAGGCCCTACCGCCGACCATTGTACCGGGCGTGGCCGGCTACCACGACCCGTCCGGCGGCGCGGGGAAGCCGTCCGCGGACCCGGCAGAGGACGAGGATGAGGCCGGCGACAGCCCACCGGCGGCGCGGCCGCCCAGTCCCGAACCCAAGGTGGAGGACTCGGAGTGCCACCGCAGCCAGAGTGCCATCTTCCTGCGACACTGGAACCGCGGCGAGAACAGCAGCTGCGCGAGAACGGACATGACATTCAAACCGGTGCCGGACAGCAAACTGGCGCGCAGGAGGGAGGAGCGTCAGCGGCGCCAGACAGAGCGCCAGGAGCGCGAGCGGGCCGACCGCGACCGCCAGCAGCAGCAGCAGCAGGTGAGTGGCGCGGGGGACGGCTGCGATACGGGTTTTAGATTTCGAAGGGAAATTTGCGTATGCACTTACCGTTACGTCTTAGTTTTCCGCATTCATTGTTATGTATTTGCCACAAAAATATTCCGTAATCCGTATTCGTATCTCGAGTCACACTTGTATCATTGGTCCATTCATGCATACCTTCATTCATTTTTATTCGTCCATTTGTTCATTATATATCAAATTTTGGTATAGTCTGCTGCTTAGCGGGCGGGACTCTCCAGAACCCTTTTCTGTATATAAGAGATCGGTCACTCTGCGCACCTCGTGTGAGCTGGTGTGTAATCTCCCCTGTCGGTCCACAGAGGAAGGAGGCGGCTGAGAAGCAGCGCTCCGCCGGGGAGAAGGGCCGCGGCTCCCCTCGCACCCCCTCGGCCGCGGCGGCGGCAGCAGCGGCTGCCGAACACGACCGGCTGCCGGTGCGGCCCTCCGAGTCGGGCCTGTCGCGACTCAGGTGAGCCAGGAGACGGGAAGGGGCCGCGGCCCTAGCAGTTTAAATATGCTTAGATATAGCTAAGGCCACACTCTTCCTGCCGCTAGCTACGAGTGTTGGTTTCGCTCTGTGAGTGTTCTGAGCCAGGAGCTTCGGTCTTTGAGCTGCGGTGTTTCCTTATAGGCCATGGGTGCCCTCCGAGTTATCCCGAGTGTCTGTCGTTATCCGTGAGTGCCGACTGTCAACCGTGAGTAACTCGTCTGTGCTTTGTCTTCAGCGACTACGGCCGTCCGCTGCCAGTCATCTCGCCCGGCGGAGCGGGCGTGCCCTACTCTGTCGGCTACCCGCTGCCGCCCCACCTGGAGCACATGGCTCCGGCCATGGCGGGCTTGCCGCCCGGTGTCTACCCGCGTGACAGGTCAGTGCAGTGACGGGAAGACGGGAGAGACGACACGGGAGAGGGGACAGATTGAAGGGTAAATGGGAGATGACGGGGAGACGAGATAGATGCCACTTACCAGGGAGACGGGAGAAGCAGCAGCAGAGTCGAGAGAAGATGGGGAGACGGGAGGGACGGGCGTTCATGGGTATTGAACACGAGAGATGTCGAGACACCGCCGCTCCTGTGCACTTCATAAGGCTTAGTTGCCATAGAGTCCGCTGTCAGTCTGAATTCGCACCAGAATGGTTCACTGTGACCTTTAAGACCGTCCATCTCACCTGTACTACCCCTTATCTGTCATAGGATGGAGCTGGAGATGCTGGAGCGGCGCGACCGCGAGCTGCGAGAGCTGCGCGAGCGAGACCTCAACGAGCGCCTCAAGGAGGAGATGTTCAAGTCTCGCCCGCTGGACGCCCATTGGTTAGAGATGCAGAGGTACGGCCCTCCTCAGCACATGTGGTAAGCTGAGCTTCAGAGGACGCTAGACGGTCGTCGGGGAAGGCGATGGTAGTAGCGGGAAACATTTGAACATTTGAATTTGGTGATTTGCTGCATACTTTCGTTTTTCGTCATGTATGTGTTGGTAATTGGTATGTCTGTATATTTTTGCCTGAATGGCGTGAAGCCATTGACGTCTTACGAATGCCGACTGATCACCTGACAGTTTGCCAGTCTACCGACTAAGGCCTAACAAGACGGGAGTGACTCACCTTTTTGTAACCTTCTCAAACCGACAATCTCATGCATTCGTATGAATTCCCTCGGCAGACATGCCGTCCCCTGTCCGACGTGCAGTATGCGAACCGTGTCTGACTGTGTCCGCGCGGGGTTGCAGGCGCCAGATGCTGCCGGGCATGTTCCTGCCGCCGCCGGGCGCGCTGTATCCGCCGCCACCGTCGCCCTCCCTGCTGTCTGCCATGGAGCGCGAGCGTCTGGAGCGGCTGGGCGGCTCCTCGGTGCCCCTACCGCCGTCGGCCGAGGGCGCCGACCGGCTGCCGCTCTCCCTGGCCGACCCCATGGTCCGACTGCAGATGGCCGGCCTCGGCGTGCCCGTGCCGCCCGAGTACCACACACACGCACACGCGCACGCCCACTCTCACACACACGCGCACACACACCTACACCTACACCCGGGCGACGCGGCGGCGGCGGCTGCGGCGGCCGCCGCGGCCGGCGGCTACCCGCTGCCGCCCGGCTACCCCCCGGGCCCGCGGCCGGCCGGCCTGCCGCCGCTGCCGCCCCGGCCCGGAGAGCCGCCGCTGTTCGCCGCCGGCTACCCGCCCCATCTGGGACGGCCCTACGAGGAGCAACTGGCGCAGGTGAGTTTACCGGACTGGGAGACAACTCGGGACGGGGTGGGAAACTGAGAATTGTGTGGAAGATTAAAGGTTGTCACTTCTTAGGTCGTGCCATTTTTAGATAACGGTAACGGCTGTCAATGAACGATTCAATTCGCTTGCATCAATCGCCATTTAGCTGACATGCGAACACTAGTCTGTTTCTAATCACATGACGGTTCTGGCCACCATGGCCCAATCCGGCCAATTATACCTTCGCATTGTTTATAAAGCCAGTCGCCTGTCTGGCTCTCTGTCCCAGCCAAGTGTTCTGACTGCTGTACCGTGTGTTCCGCCAGCTGTCGGCTCACGCAGCTGCCCAGGAGCACCTGCAGCGCCAGCTGCTGGAACGTGAGCGGCTGGCCGGCGGCGGTCCGGGCCTGCCGCCGCCGCCGCACGGCCTGCCGCCCAGCTCCCTGCACTCGTCGCTGCTGGCGCACCACGCCCAGCAGGAGGAGCTCATCAGGTCAGTGGGAGAAAGAGTAGAGGAGCTCATCAGGTCAGTGGGAGAAAGAGTAGAGGAGCTCAGGCCAGTGGGAGGGAGAGTGGGGCAATGACTAGTTGGACAAGGTTGGGAGAGGAGAGAGGGGATGGTCATTTACCAGTCAGTCAAGAGGGAGACTTTGCAGGACAGTGGGAAACCGGAGCAGGGGGGCGGTGTTACTTAGGTCAGGGAGGGGGAGGAGGGTGCTGGTTGGGCTAGTGGATGATGGGTCAGTTCAGCGCGGGAGGTGGCTGTTGTGGTAAGCTGGATGGCTGGCCATAGCAGTTTGAAGAATAGAGGGTAGGTCATCCAGTTAAGGAAAGCGAAGGGCTGTTTCAAGTTTTCAGGTTAGTAATGGGTTAAGCTGTTTCATAAAGAATATAAATTATCAGTTTGTCGGTCTGAGTGAGACGGAGAGGAGCGATTGGCCATGTTAGTCGGGAAGACTTTTCGGAACTGAAGTACGAATGGTGAGGCGCGGGACCAAAGAGGGGCGAAACGAACAAATTGGTCATAAGATTAGGCGACAGTTGGTATGGACCGATGTGTCCGAATTTTCTAACGTTCCGGTCATTCTGTTTCAGATACCAGCGTGAGCGGGAGAAGCGGGCGCTGGAGGAGGCGGCCCGCGCGCCGCCCAAACCCTGAGCTCCCTCCCCTCCCCTCACCCGGCGTCCCGCGGAGCCGGACCTACGTGCAAATACGGCGCAGTGCCGCCAGAGGATGCGTGCTTTATTATTTATGAACCGGGAGCTACGTGCAACTAGCGGCGCCGGACTGTTGGAGGCTTTCAGTGCTCGGCGGCGGTGATGACGTCATACCGGTGACGTCAGCGGCGGGTAGTGTTAGACACACATCGAACGGAGCGGTGCCGGGCGGCTGGCGTGGACGGCTTGAAGCCGTGCCTCGGCCGTCTGCTCCTCACACATGGCCCGCGCCGGTCTCTCGTTCATCTCACTCAGACGCGGCGCGTGTTGTGCTTGTCCGTCACTGGCGACTGCCCAGCAGCGGGAGGAGCCCCGATCCAGCAGAGAAGACGCTCGCTGTACCATTGTTTTGTACAAGGTTCATAGTGTACATATTTCCATGCTAATATAGATAACTCCTTGCTTTGACACACGAAGTTTTCGTGTTTTTCTTCTCCACCAGCGAACTGGCTACACGCAAGTCAGCAATAAAGAAAAGTGAATTATCAACACGTGAGAGACTGCGCGATGGAAGAAACTGTTCGACTCCCCAAAAATAAACGATCCTTTTGTACCTTCTGTCCATTGGCCAGAACATACATAATTATTAAATACGATTTAGCGGGTAATATGCGAATGCCAACCGAAGTACAGAGGATATAAAGACGGATAATATTGTATTTATTTATTTCAGACCGTGCTTGCAATAAGGCGCATGGTGGATAATCAACCCCAGAGGATACATTGCACCGTCACTCGATACGGGTAAACATCGTGCTAAGAGCATAATCGCTCCAGTTCTACACAACAATAAAATGCACAATTACGACACAATAAAATAATGCTCACAGATTCATTACTTATAATTTTCTTCATGTGAACTCAGCACGACCAGATTCCAGATACCAAACTACGCCTATTTAGAAGCGACGCGCTAGCCGTAAGATGGTAAATGATGCAGCTGGAAAAAAACAATAAGGCAGAATGAGTGCAATTTCAGACCACTCCTTTTCGGAAGTACGGAACAAACTGGTTCGTGGTTACACACGGAGTCAAAACTCGTCTGATTGATGTGAAGCATCAACTAAACAGAATTGAAACACAGACGGCCGAGGAGGAAGAATTACGATCACTATTGCATCGACGTTCATGCATCATTTCCACAGTTCAGTGTACTGGCTTAGCGGAAGATGTCGTGAGAGGATCATTTTTGCACATTCAGTTATTGAAATATGCCGCCTCGTCCAACCACTCCAATACAAACGGGTTTGTTCGATTTGCCAAACTCGGCTGGTGGAGCTACGGTATTTGTTGGTATACATTACGGAGACCGGGAGCAGCTGCACAGGCAGACTCAGCGCCCTCACTAACCTAGTGACATGCCCACCCCCTCCCTGCCCAGCCCATTCATCCAAAACATTGATACGAGGAATCAAAGTAACGCGGCAATTTGCTGGGATGTGGTTAAAATGGAGACAAAATATTAGTGATTCTCGGTCCGTAGGAAGTTACTGGCAGAATGAAATACAACAGTCCCGATATGTTGACCGTCTCAACTGAAAGCAGGAGACATTAAGAACAGAACACCGGTTATCTCGGAGCTCAAGGAAATTGAAGGCGGATACCACAAACATATTCCCCGTCCGAACAGAAACCCGGTACCGAACTGAACACAATCCACAGACAATCACAATCACTCGGCCGCGCCTGCCGGCCGTCTCGCCGCCGTTCCGCCGCCGCCGGCCGCGCGCACCGCTGCATCAGGCCGGCTCCCCCGGAGTCCGGTTTGCGAGCCAGCCGTCCTGGTGCGGTGCGCGCGCGGCGGCGGCGGTCGGGCGGCGCGGCCGGCCGGCGGGCGCGGCGCCCCGTTCCGCGGCTAGACGCCGCCCATCGAGCCGCCGGCGTGCGTGGACCAGCGGATCTGGTTCTCGATAATCTGCACCAGCTCGGGAGGGTTGGGGATGCGGCCCGTCTCTAGCTTGGACCACACGGGCACGTCGTTGAACTGGATCTCAAATGCGCCCGTCGATATCAGGTTGGTTTCGAAGAAGTTGCACACGAAGAAGAGCATCATGCAGCCGTAGATTTTGTTCTCCTGCAGCCAGTTCCACCATTGGGGAGTGGGCTGGTTGAGGAACTGGAACGGGTTACCCCCGGCCACCACCAGCATTATGAGCACTAGCTTGACGACACCCTGCCGACAGACAACACACACGGATCAGTGACAGCAGGGCCATTTGTGCACGCAAAACACCCGTGAAATATCTATCTGGAGAATATGTGGGATTACCCAGGTCAAAACGTGTAAGTAAATTACCACGTTTTTCTCGACCATATCGAAGTTATCATGCATAGTAAGAATAGAATGCTTTATACTTTGTGCCAGCATGTCAAATACTTCAGGAAAAAGATACAGGAATGCATATCGCAAGCACACAATGGATACACATAACGGAATCTTATCTCGCATGCAGACTCCTGTCACCATCTAAAGCGGCGTGACCGTCTTATCGTCTTATCAACCCGATACGAGACGCTAAGCGAACGTGAGCACCGCGGTACATCCATAAGAGCTGGCATCCCAATGCCCTGGTCCACCACTCAAATCCTGTAACCTTGGCACACGACACCGCTCACAATGCTGAGTGCGTGAGTCGGCAGATATGTGACGGAACTTACAATGAGTCGAGCAAGTCCCATCTTCCACGTAGGCGGCGGGAAGTTCTCCCCCTCCACCTGCACGTCCGGAAACTTGTCCTTGATGAAGCCGGCATACTGCTCAAATGCCTTCTGGTAGCCTCACGAGTAACTGAAAACGGTACAAAGCGCAACGCGCTGGCGTCATGAAACCGCACTTTCGTCGTTTCGATGACCCTCTCTCGCCAATAGTTTACAAACTCATTAAAATAAAAAAAAAAACGAAAACGGTCAGAGGCGTATCTCAGCGACGTTATGCCTCAATTTTCCACCGGCGCGCCGCTCCTGGGTGCCTATGCTCGCTGCGACGGGTCAGTTTGCCTACACGCACGCGCTATCAGCCATATTGTTACACGCCGACCAGCGACCGAAGCCATATCTGGGCGGTGTTTCACTGGACGCTGCTACCAAGCTGCTAGAGCATTTCGCGAGCTGACGTCACATATTCTGGCAGTGATGGAGATAAGAGTTTGTTGATGTGTCCATGGAAACTCAATTTGGCATGTGTGCTGGCAGCACGCTAGCAGCAGCCGTGAAACGGGGCTCTGAATGAGGTGACCATCGGGACCAGTACTGCGTCGAGCTCCTGGGCTGGGCACACACTGTCAGAGGTCACCTACACCAGTCTCCAATAAGTGATGCTGTTCTCTGCAGTGGCACCACTGAGATCTGTATGATATCACTAAGCAAATAGTGCTTTACGTCATCTGTGACTAGATGGATGTCAGACAAGACAGACAAGTTGCCTGAGTCCCACTCTGCACATGAGGGCAGTTGGATCAGCTGAACTAAGTGAATATGAGACGAGGGAGCTGATTAATATTTGTCCTGCAAACCTAGGTATATACCAACCAATATTACTGATTTTATGACACATGCATACCTTCAGGCCCTAAAAAATCCACTTTTGTCAAAAAGCTTTTCATTGTGTTGCACCTGTTAGGCCATGAAAGGTAATACAGTGGTTGTTGTTAAGCTCAAACTTGAACTACAAAGTGAAGAAGCTTTAAACCAGTCAAAAATCCATGCCTAAGCAGAATACAGGCCTCAATTGGCTTAAGATTTAAGAGCTCTTTAACAGCTTAAATTTTTCATAGGTAAAATCTTAAGTTAATAGTTATAAGTATCAACCTGTCCCTGACCTTGTACCAGTGGCCTGACCTGACCTCATTTCCCAACCAGCACTGTCTCACAACCATTACATTTGGAAGTTCCAGTCATTTTGAATCAGACACTGAACATATCACTCACCACAAGCACGAGCTTCCCATACAGCTTGCAATCAATGTCGATGTACAAGAGGTTCAATCATCCAACCAAGCCCACAAAATCTAACATTCTAATTAATACTTACCAATACAAGAAGGTAATAGTGGGTCCCATCAGCTTTGATGCGATTTTTGTTGGATTTTCTCCAACGCTCGCTTCTGCAGTGCCCTGCTGCTCGCCACCTAAGAAATCACGGGCGACCAAAAGGCACAAAATGCCAAACAAACCCAGATAAGCGGTTTGGCCGAATTCGGCCATGATATGTTTGAAGTTTTCAGAAAAAAAATATGATAGTTGTTGTACGGTACGGAAATGATGCGTCAGAAACGGCTAGCTCACACTGATGCTAAAAACTCATGCTATCAGATTAAGACTTTGCATATTTTCGTTATCTTTGTCAAAAACATGAACTATTGTGCGCCATCTTCTGTCGCATTTTGTGTTAAGTGTTTTGTGCTAAAAATGACGTAGAGCTAATGTTTCTAAGATTAAATATGATTATTTCAAGTTAAGTTTATTAGAATTTTATTTTTATATGAGTTTATGCTGCAAAAATTTTTATTTACCTTTAATTGCGAAAATATTATCCTGAAAATGCAAAAAATGAACAAATGACGTCATTTAAAGTTCAGCTAAAATATTTGAACCAATGCTACTGTCTCGACTGTCAATAGGCAAAGGCAATAACAATCGCAAAGTTAAGTAGTATTTCAGTCGGTGACACACCAGGGAAATAAGCTAAAATTAGAGCGCTCTATTTATTGCTCCCGCTACTTCACCGTCTCCCATAGGGTCCTGTGTTGAGCTGGTGTCGAGGCTCTAAAAATGACGCCGATTTTTGCACCCTTCTCACGAAAACCGCTCGGACCGCCTGGAAACCAATTGTTCCGCTCTAAAAATTTCATGATCGACGGGAAAATGAATGAGGAAAAGATTGGTCCTGAAATAATTCTGAACTCCCTGTAGAACATATCGAAATATGGCTGCAAACTAGGAGCATGTCAAAATCGACAAAACAATACAAATAAACTTACCGGGATTTTTTTATTTTCCATGCATCTGTGTATGAAATCAGTCGGTTTTTCGGAAAAATCATCTTCTGTTTAATAAATAATTCCACAATTGCAATCGAGAAAAAAAACATTCCGCTGTGACAGCAGTTTTGGCATTGTGCCAGTAGTGTGGCGTGCGCGGTGCTGCGTGGTCGTCGGGACGGAGTTGTGAGTATTTTCGGTGTTTTAAATGGTTGATGGCCATTTGAACCAGCTTCATATTATTTCCTACAAATTTTTACATCAAATTATTGCTTTGAAAGACCATTGAAACCCCTTATCTCTTCATGAAGCACGATCATATTCATCGTCGACGAAAATGGCGCGGGACTCCATGTGCATTCCGATAGAAATAAATCGTAATTTAAATAATATTCGATGATAATTATCATATTCTAGTGACACATTTTCATAAAATAAGGCATAAACTTTGCAAGGAAGTCAACATTGGATAATTGAATTCTTATTTTTCTCAAATATCCTTGTAGTAGTCAAATGGCTCAATTGTTAGATAGATGTAAGTATATGTTTTGGCTTGATGTTTGCTGTGAAACCACCCAGCCACTTGCTGGTTGAGTGGTTTTCTGATAATTACCTGATAATCATTTCTCCTTTTCCTTAAAAGAAACTAAAATTCCTTTCAAAGTAATCCATTTTAAGGAAAGGCGGCCTGCTCATTGCATTTCATGTTCTTGTTTTGTTATTGCTGGCAGTATTTTGATACAATAATGCAATAGGTATGAATTTTTTGCAATAATAAAACCTAAGACGAACTTAGTTAATGCGTCAATCAAACACCCAACAGAAAGATTGTGAGTCCTTGTGACGTGAAGTAGAATATTCTATGAATGTGTTATAAAGAATATGCCAAATATTAAATTAATTATTATTTGATACCAATAGCTGAGCAGGTGAATTATGCCACAATATAATTTCATTTTCTGGTTTTGAAATAGCCGGCAGTATTTTACTTCAACAAATGTAATATACATGGAATACATGTTGTTATGTTACCTATGTTAAAAGTTTAATAACAGCCAACAGAAGGAGCTGTTTCAGCAGATAATGTTTGTACCTTATGCATTACCTTTCTTTTCTGCAGGACCATGCTTCCGCTGGGTGGTCGACATTTGCCTCCTGAAGAAGTTGAGCAACATGAAGACCACCAGATGAGGTGTCTGCAGTTCATGTGGAACTCTGCAGACTACAAGTGTTATGCCAACCACAACCAAAGTGCTGTGATCATGGAGGTATGAACCTCATGACAACACTTCAGATTTGCAGTTGAACCAAAGTGTGATTCAAACCACCTGTGGCATCTCACTCAATGTGTGAACAGTGTGATTATTGTGCAGTGTTCAGCTGCAACTAAGACATTTATTAGTGACTTGTTTTGCAATTAGCCACCAAAAGCATTTTTTGGGCTGGCTGCTGTAATTTGTTGTGCACTGCGCAATAGTGGTAGTGTTTTGTCACTTGTCAAGTTGTCAGTTGTGCATGTTGCATGTTTCTCTTCCCTCGGCCCTCATTATCAGTTAAGTGGTGAATTGGCATCACTCAGTCTCCCCAGATCTCCATTGACTGTCTGTCAACCACCTAACTTGAGATGGTATTTGCTAATAGTGTCAGAAAAGAAGTGATTGTAGACATTTTTAGGAATATGAGCTCCGTTTCATGCGTGTTCCAGTGGTCATTTTGTCACATGTCCCATAGTGTAATAAATGGAAACTGTTGTTCCCTTTTGAAGGTACTCGCGGATGCAGAAAGCGTTGGGCCTAATTATTAAACGCACCCTCCTATCAGCGACGCACGAAATCGACAAATATCATCCTTTTTAGAACAGGAGAAAACGAAAACTTGTGAACATAGCTGTACCTACAACAGTGCATAAGGAATTGAAATTCTGGGAGTTTTTGAAATTCGGAGAAACTGAAGTTGTCGACAGGTATGCCCCCTGCACGTCAAAGACCGCCTAAAAAACAAACGTCTACAAATGAAGGCAGTATTCGTATGTTCGTTGTAATTGCAGCAGCCTAGCAACATGTATTGCGGTCCGATTGCGAATTACACTCGTGCTCAAAAACTATGCCGGTAATTGCCAATGCACTTAGGTCATAGGTGAGGAGAGGAAGGGTTATGTCATATGTCAACATCATAGAAATGGCTTCATCTGAGCTGTGCCTATTGTAGTTGTACATAATTCAACCAATCTATGCATTTCGTTTCTTGCAATCTACTCATGCTTTCACTCCAGCTTCAGAGTAATCATTCCATATTGTACGTCTTAAGATATTGATTTCTATGGCGGTTTGCAATTACTAGCCACGTCTCACCTCAGTTTGGTGGCCCCGCATCGGCCCACTCGGCCGCTCTAAAATTGACTTACGGAGGAGGATGGTGGCTTTTATTTTAGCTTCTCCGCCGACTGCGGGGAGCGCCGTCGCCGAGGTAGGAGCAATAAGTAGCTTATGTTTGGGACTAATTTCCACGTTTAATTAACATTTTAATGTTATTTTAATTAATTCATGTTAATCTTTGACGCATTCTCTTTCTATTGATACCATCCACCGGTCTGAGAATTACTGCCTTGCTGCGTAAGGGCCGATAAAAGATCACGTTTTTAGGGGTATCTCTTCAACATGGGGCAGGAGCAATAAATAGAGCGCTCTAATTTTAGCTTATTTCCCTGGTGTGTCACCGACTGATTTTGGTGGTATTTTGAGGGGTAGGCGTGCTTTTTATCCTTTGCTTTTCCACGCGTATCTTTATTATTGTGTTACACACTTGCTTATCATTACAGCTATGATTAGCAGCAAGGCCATCATTAGTTGCAGTGCCTTGGTTGCAGTCAATTTCTATTCAATTCATTCATTTGATTTTAAACTGCTTCTCTGTATGAATATAATTTTAGCAGCATTTCCGTTTCCTTAATTTTGTCTCATTGAACGTTTTTCCACCGCTGTAATAATGTGAACTGCAGGGACCACTCCACTCCAACTCTAGTTTGTTGTGCATCAGATCATTGATTCCTGGGCAATCCGTGTCAAATTTTCTTGTAAATCTTGGTGCGCAAACCTTTGTCTGCTAGGCTGGGCTAGGTTTAGGGGATGCTTCTGTTTGTTGTGTATCATAACCCATGCCCTGTGGCCTGTTGAGCTATTGGCGGACTGGTTTATATAGCCTTGGACTGTACCACCCACTGGGCTGGGGGGGGGGGGGGGCGTTTTGGCCCCCTAAGAACATGGAGAGCTACCCACTGTTGACAGGCTGTGCCACTGCCACGCGGTAAAGACGCCATGATTTATTTTTCTTGTTCTGGCCTCGTGAGCGTTAACTAGTCGCCTGAGGAATAAAGGTGAAAAGAGATACAGAGTGACCGAGGACGGAGGAAGCGCAACAGTAACGGGGCACAACACATACCAACCGATTTTGAAAGCTCAAACAGTATTTGATAATGCCACGGCACTAGGTACCTTGTTAACAATTTTCATTGGCCTAGGTGCAACCGATGATGATGATGTCTCAGGGCAGGTCCAAACTCCAAAGTCACATTTTTGACTATTTACGGGCATTCTAAGGAAAGCATTATAACATTGACTAAAAGGCATGTTATCCAAAATCATTGATAGAGCATCGGCTGCCTCATACATAAGCTGTTTAAAGAAGTCACTGATACCAGGTCAGGTCACAGAGGTCAGGCCACTAATGCCTTGTCACATTACAAACCCATCTAAACTAGGGTCATGTGAATGCTATTTATAATGCATGTCTTGTAGCCAATTTTACATTTCACATTCAATGGAGTGGGTTAGACGACCATTGGGGCTGGTTTAGGTTATGTTTTACTGGAGGTCAGGTCAAGGTCAGGAAAAAAAGAAAAGGTCAAATTTCGAAGTTGATATTTTTGTATAGAAAGGATATCTATTTGATGCAGCTAATCACGGGAATCCAATGGTGGTGTTTATTTTACTCTACATACTTGGTCTAGAACGGCAAAAAAAAAATTGAGGTTGAAAATTTAACATAAATTTTTAGCTTTTTACCACGGTCGTTGCCGCGTTGATATGAGCACAGTGTACGAGATTCTGAGGCAAGGAGGTTGACAGAAAGGCAGAGAAGTTCCCCGCGGCGGCAGCAATCAACACCTGAGGCCCAGCTGAGGAGGCTGTCGCAATCCGGTGCCGTCTCCCGAGTGCGCCGAAATGTCGACCCCGCCTCCCGTAGTCGCCGCACGTAGCTCGTATTGCCAGTTTGCGCGCAGTGTTGGGTGCCGTTTGCACATCTCGGTTGCTCACACAAGGCTGGGCTGATTGTGCTCAAAGCTGGCACATCGCAAGGGGCTGCTTAGCAGGGTCCCTTGCATTTGTTGCGCAAGTGAGCTGGATGTACCACTCCGTGGTTATACATTTACAGAGCTCACTCTCGCGCTCGCTCGTTTCTCACATCCCAAAAGACGTCTTATCCGATCGATTGTGTTTTTCTGTTGTTGTGGTATATGGAGCCTAGTGGAGAGGCTCTTGAATTCAACAGTGCTTGACTTAACCATGATTTTTTCTGTTCTAGCTTCTTCTGTAAATAATTAAAATGGAGAACGTTCTGACTTTAGCCACTGATGATCTTGTTAACTCCAATGCCCTGCAAATCAATGGTAAGTGTGGACAGTTTTTCTGCATAGTTCTAAATTAAGACCTTGCTTGAAATATGTTCCTGAGTTGTGTCAGTTTTTTTGTTGCATTTTCTGCCTGTAGAAATTTATACAAAACTTTTGCATCATATTGTTGCTAATATGTAGTTGTCACTTGTCCCAACACATTTCCATTGCCCATTCTTTTGTTTGTCAAACTGTGGGTAGTTGATATTATCAATGTGATATCATATCATTATATCAGTATATATCATTATATCAGTAAGCAAAATTTTGGTAACTTCAGAAGTTGTGTAAGCTTTGTGCAACCTGTAAACACCTGAGACATAGAATTCCAATGCCTTCTGTTTGTGATGTCAAACCAAACCACTTATTGTTTGTTGATATTGATGAGGAGAGAAGCCTTGTATTTTTAGGTAAAACCTCATCATACACCTTGGAGTGTGTCATTGATGAATAAAGTAACCCCAACCCAATACTATCCAGTTTTGCCGAGCTGTGTCACTGTGGTCGGTGTTTCCTGAACCAACGCCGCTGATAATCACCTGTTGCCGTCAGTGGGCGAGGACGGACTGGCCTCGACAGTGGGCCTGCCTGTCAACGTAGTGCCGGCAGAGGGAAGCTATGTCATCAAACAGCTGGACGACGGCACCACCGTCCTGCTCGACGCCGTGAGTTACAATGCCAGGGAGAGGGTATTTTGTTTTATGAAATAGTAAGATAGCAAAAGGCTGCTACTTCCGAGTTTGTACTCAGCCACGAACGAGCGCTTCTTTTTCGGCCAGTAGTGATAAAATGCTCGTCAAAGTAAGGAATTAAAGTACGCTTAATTCACATACACTCAAAATGAGTCATGTCACCCCGTTCACATTGCTTCGTTCTGTACAAATGCCCCTGTCATATTGTGGCCAACACTAAAATATACGGCTTTGAGTCATCCTTAAGTCTGACCACGCTTGTCGCTCTGCAGATGACGTTTCTGAATCACATGGGCGGCCAGCTGGTGCTAAACAGCGCCCCGGTTGGCACGGACCTGCTGACTCACAGCATCTTCAACGCTGTGGACGCCGACCCGGCCGGACACCAGCTCATACAGGTGGGCGCTGCCGCCGCCTACGTCAGAAGTCTAACGCTGCCCGTGGCCTGTCATGATAGCCAGTAGCCAGATGACATCTTATTACCTAGACGTCACGTCTGTATCATCTTAGCGTAATGTGTAATGTTGATGATTGTATAGCGGCTGAGTCAAGTCGGTTTTTACGCGACAGTCATGGTTGTCCCCCGGTGTTGTACGGTCCGTGCTCAGTGCTGACCTCAATGATCGTCCGTGCTACCCGCCGCCGTACTGGCCTGTCGTACTAATCCGCCGTGCTGACCCTCCGCTGTACTGATCCCCCACGCTGACCGGCCGCCGCGCCGCAGGGCCTGGAGACGGTGACTGAGGAGGTACCGCTGGACGTGCCGCCGGCGGCGCCGGCCGGCCGGCCCCTCTCCTCAGTCGAGGCCCTGCTGGCAGAATCCGGCGACCTCACCGGCCACCGGGATCCCGGCGAGCCGGACCAGGAGCCGCAGCCGGCGGCCCCGGTTCCGCAGCTGCCGACCAGGGGACGGGTGCCGCGGCTGTACCCGCCGGAGCCGGAGGAGGAGCCGCCGGGACCGGTACGTGTCGCTGCAGCGGTCTGTGGCATATGGTATGGACTGTGAGCTACCTCTCCCTGTCATGACTGAGATGTTTAGCTACAGGCAGATGATCGTATAGCCGCCTGGGCCTGTGTGTGTGTGGTCATCGCTGGGTGTGTCGTCTCTAAACGGTCGCCTTTCTCTGCTGTGCTGTGAGATGTGGATTGTATTCTTCCCATCTGATCAGCTTGCCACCACTGCCAACATAATGCATCCATGTACGTTTGCGTCCAGTGTATTTGGAGCCGATCCAAGTCAGGTTTTACTGACGGGTCGATTTGCGCGTGTTTGCCTCAGGCACCGTGGACATGTCCCCGCTGCTGCAAGAGGTTCAACCTGTGGAAGCGCTACCTGAACCACGTCAAGCTGCACGACTACGAGAAACCCTACAAGTGTTACAAGTGCCGAGAAGAGTTCAACTTCGAGGTGGGTCCAATGGCAGAATCAATAGCCCTAGGCTAACACGTCTCCTTTGGCTCATGATATGATAAAGCAAAATCATTCTTGTTGCTGCTAAGTCCATGATGTCTCATCTTGCAATGTGCATGATCTTGCAGCTCTACTGTGCCACAGCCCCTAGTCCTACGCACTTCGGCATATGACTGACCCAGCTTCCCCTCCCGTGTCCGTCGAGCAGAAGAACCTGCAGCTCCACCTGGTCACGCACAACCCGAACCAGCTGCAGTGTCCCGACTGTGACCGCCTGTTCCGGCGGTTCGCCTCTCTACGCTCCCATCTGGCTGTGCATGAGGTGGATGAGACGATCCTGTGTCCGCACTGCCAGCAGGACTTCCCCACGCAGGTGGGTGGCGCCGGCTGCCGGTCTCAGAGCGCCATGGGATGACTTCTTGGGACTTCTGGGATCATAAATGGAGGATTGTGCCGAGCTGGGTGTGCCCGTGCACAGCAAATCGGCCGCCGCCCTAGCGGTGACATTAAACTCCGCCGTCTGTTGCGGTTCCAAAGCCAAGCCGACGTGGAATTAAGAAAGCTTGGGCACCCCCAGTTGGGCGCCAACTGCCACCTATGTCTGGGCCAGGTCTGGGCTGCTTCTGTGAGCTGCTGTGATTACGGAGCGAGCAAAGCGAGCGGAGTCTTTCCTTAGATTAACGGAAATTTCTGAGTAAGTGCGGACGCTTTTGCGAGGCTTATATCTCAGCAACCACTCGACCGATTTACACGCGGTAATTTTTGTAGGGTAGCTTCATTCCTTCTACCAAGTATTGGACTATTCTCGATGCATGTGGGTGACCCCTTACGCACGTGCCACGTGCAAAACGAAGAGGTGTCACTTTTATAATTGTTGCAATATGTCTGTAACTACTTGGCCGATTGCGCTGAAAGTTGGGATGTAGGTAGGCACCCACTAGGCAATGCATATCCATGTGCCAGAGTTGGGGTGCTGCTGCACGTGCGCACGTGCAGGGGTCGATTCCAGATCTCGAGAACGGCTGAACCGAAGGCGCTCAAATTTGGTACATGGTTAGGGACCGATTAGTAGGGTGCCGTGCAAAAGTCAGTTGGGACCCAATTTGCACGTGCGCACGTGCAGGGTGCCGCTTCCAGATCTCGAGAACGGCTGGGCCGATTGTGCTCAAATTTGGCACATCGCTAGAGACCGGTTAGTAGGGTGCCGTGCACAAGTCAGCTGGAGGTACCCCTCGAAATTTCGCACGTGCAAGGCTCACCCTCTCGCTCGCTCCGTTAGTCGCCCAAAAAGGCGTTATACTGGTATTGTACTTCGGTGTGAGTTCGTCATGGGCGCCTGGACTGTGAGTGGTGCCTTGTGTAGGAGCGTTGTGGCTGATCGACAAGTCTCTTGGTGCGTCCATGTATGGGGTCTCTTGCCTAAAAACGCCACGCCACGCCACGAGAGTGGGGTGGCTTTCCTCATTAGATATGTTTGTTTTATACCTACGCGAAAGAAGTTGTGCGAGGGTTGTTGAAGGACATAGGTCCTTTATAGCCAGCTGTATTTTCGCGCCGTGGTTTGTTTGTGGCCGAAATAGCTCAGTTGGGAGAGCGTTAGACTGAAGATCTAAAGGTCCCCGGTTCGATCCCGGGTTTCGGCAGTTTTGGGTGGGCGCCTGCGGATCTCTGCTGTGCAAGCGCATTCTGTCGGGAGGTATTCTTGTCGGTTTTGTCGAGACTCTTTATGACTGTGGACTTTTTCAGTGCCTTAACCCTCGCCCGTAAACGGCGATCTGCCACCTTCGCCCATGCAGGGGGGGGGGGTTGGTGCGACCCCCCCCTTGGCGTTTGAAAACGGAGCGTCGTAGAGCTTAGCGGAAAAGACCAACGGATTGCTCTCGCCGAGATCTCGCGATTGGTGGTATATTTTTTGGTCCTAGGTCAACATTTGACCTACTTTTGACCGGTCAAAGGTCAAATTTTCGGAAAAATAGACTTTTTCAAATTTTCCGCGGCGATTGCGGCAAAACGGTGGGAGATATCGACTTGAAACCTTCACTATCGTGTTCCTTGATCAATTCTCTATCGTTTGGTATGTATTTCGTTTCCCTAGCTCTAAAAATGGCGCGTTGGGAGCGCCGGAAGTCGGCAAGGTCACAGTCGGCGGCAGAAATTCGAAAAATCAAAATTTAAATTTTTGAAATCTGATTGTATTTTTGGATTTGGGATGTCCATTTGCTCCCTATAGAAGCTAATATTGCTGCATATTCCCATTGAGGTGACAAGAATTAGCAAAATAGTGGTTCGGGCGCTTTTCAAAAATAGTACCGGACGCTGTTCCTCTTGTGACGTCATAGCTCCGTGACCTGACCTGACCCGGTCAAATTTCTTATACCATATGATAGCCAATACTTGCCCCAACATGCATGGGAAGTTTCATCACGATCCATCAACCGATGTCCGTACCACCGGCAGGAAACCTCGGGCGTTGGCACTCAGTTTGTGAAAATCCGGCCGGAGGCTGTTCCCTTTGTGACGTCATAACTCCGTGACCTGACATGACCCGGTCAAATTTTTTTTATCAAAAGATGCGCAAGGCTTGCCCCATAAGGTACCCAAAATTTGGCGGCGCTGCGCGCCGCCGTTTTTGCACTATTTCCGAAAAACCTCAGGGGGGGGGTTGCACCAACCCCCCCCCCCCCCCTACATGGGCGAGGGTTAATCCGTCTATCGATTTTTATCAGACACGTAACGTAGCTTTGTAATTACTTCTGTTAGGCCCCTGTCAGCTGTGATTCGTTTGGTCGATTCTTGCCGCTCCCCCCCCCCCCGTCTCTGGTTTCCCTTCAAAACGTACAACACTTGCCGCTCCCACCTCCGCGAGTAGCTCACTGACCCGTCTGTCTCCGACCAGGTCCTGTTGGACAAACATCTCCCCGTACACACGGCTCCTGCCGCTGAGGAGGACGCACCAGCCGCCGCCCCTGCGGTGGAGCCCCCGGCACCACAACCCCCGCAGCCTCAGCGGCCGGCCAAGCAGCCCGACTGTCTGGCCGACGCGGCGGCTGAGGCGCTGGCCGATACTACCGAGCTGGTACTGGTGCGGCAGCCGCCGCCGCCCGACTCCCTCCACTGCACACAGTGCAAAATGGTGTTCACCAACTATGACGACCTTCAGGAGCACGTGCGCGCCCACCGCACGGTAAGTAGAGGGCCAAAGGGTCAGTGAGAGCAGTTAGCAGACTATCAGTAAGACGGTCTTGTCACACACTGCAACATTGAATCGCAATGCCGTTGTAAGTCGTAACGTAGATTTGCTGTGCACACACTGTTATGCGCATAAGCATTAGCGGAGGGAGATTCGTTCGCGTTGGTGTATATGTGCTGCCATACGCGTCTGTGGCCAGCTGAGCTGGCACTCGTGCGATAAACGTGACCTTCAAAGCGATACGACCACTGCACACATCATAACACACACCACCTTCAATCATTAAGGCCGTCTCTAAAGAAAGTCATCATAGCAAAGGTCATGATGTACTTACAAAATAAGGCTGCCTATCACACGGCTCTTCATGTAGCATCACACGCACTGCATTTTCTATCCTCCTTCCGAGACCGCTCGGCGCCGACTGCCGGCCTCTCCCACACCGCGCCTCCCCGCCAACCAGACGCCGGCCACCTGACACTCGATGCCATTCAACACCCCCAGTAAACTGGCGGATCGCCCCTAATGCCGCTCCGGATATACGAGCCGGCGCTAAACAGCAGTGCAATAAAAATATCGTGTTTTGGTCGCAAATGGCCACGCAGCTGTGAACACGCCCCTAAACGCCAATTAGGTAATTGAAATATCGTGTTTCTTGATCACATCGACTCTCTCTCCACTGACCAAGCTTTATTGGGGTGTTTACCAACGGTGTTATCCTACCAGCGACTCCCGCTGTTCCCGTAGTCCTCCCCCGCAGTTCGGCTGATGGTCTCCTGTCATAGGCGTCATATAGCTTTATTGCCACGGTGTCCTAAACCCAAATAACCAAGTGTTAATAACCCGCCAGCCGTTCTGTCGCTGCCTCTTTGACCCTATAACTCCCCTCCCGCGTCTCCGCTGCACAGGTACAGTCTCTCCTTACGGTGAAACAGAGGCGGCGGCGGCCCAAGACGGCCACGCCGTCGGGCCGCACGCGCTGTAAGCTCTGTGAGAAGACGTTCGCCAAGCCCGGCCTGCTGACAAGGCATATGCTGATCCACACGGGCGAGCGGCCCTTCAAGGTGGGTTGATGGAGCCGAGACTGGTGCCTTACGCTGGCTTTACATCGTAAGCTGAACCAAATTATATGTTATCATCATACATCATATATCATATATCATATATCATATTATATATCATATGCAGTTATCATCAGGCACTGGCTCCCAAGAAGTCAACATATTTGTTTGGCCTCTTCATTATGGGCCGACAAGATTCTTATTCAACAAGATCAAATCTTATTATTGAAATCCAAGTGCGAATGCAGTCGGCTGATTTGTGAATAAGATTCGCATGCATGTGTAAATTGAAAAGCATTTGACAAGTAAAATAAAAAATGGCTAGCCCTGCTAAGTTCCGTCGGAAGCATACACACCTGATTTCGACATTCCTCCGTTTCAGTGCGAGCAGTGCGACCGAGCGTTTAACCAGAAGAATGCGCTCAAGGTCCACATCGAGTCAAAGCACGGCAAGCTGCGTCCACACCAGTGCCAGCTGTGCCGGCTGTCGTTTGCACAGAAAGGCAACCTGCGCAACCACGTGCGGCGCGTTCACAATCTGAGCGAGACCACGCAGCGCTCGCACGTCTGTTCCCAGTGCGGCTGCGGCTTCACCTCAGCCGCCGTGCTGAGCAGCCACGTCAGTAAAATGCACGAGCGGCCACCGGGCGCGGAGATCGGTCCCGAGGCGCTGCGCGACCTGGTCAAACAGCTGCTTGAGTACTCGGCGGCCAACGAGGCGGCGCGCGAGCGCATCCACGCGCAGATCGCAGACATTGCCGGCTCGATTGTGGATGATGATCTGCCGACGGTTCTGGCGGGCCTGGTGGGGAAAAAGGCGAGTGCGGCAGCCGCGGCGGCGGCGGCACGCAGCACCGGGACTGGAGCGGGAGCGACGGAGAAGGACGGGCAGACAGCGCCGGAGGGAGAACGTTCGCAAGAGATCACGCTGCCAGACTTGGAGCACGTTGAGCAGCAGGACGACCAACAGCAGCAGCAGCAGATGGATGTGGAGTCGGAGCCGGTGCCGGACGTCTCCGTAACGCCGGTGGCTCGTACGGTGCACGAGCTGACACCTGCTGAGCCTATACCTGCCGAACCTGGCGCAGAAGCTGACGTTGAACCTGCCCCAGAGCCTGGAGCGCAGCCTGTCACTGAACCTGCCACTGTTCCTGTCACTGACCCTGCCACCGATACTGCCACAGACACTGCCCCCGACCCTCCCGTTCCTCCAACTACCTCGTCCATCAGCCCGGCCAAGGCAGCCTCCATCATCTCCTCCATCACCAGCGCGGCGGCGGCCGTGGCCGGTCCGAGCGAGGACGGCGAGGATCCCGGCCGCCACCGTCCGGCCATCATCACCCTGGTGGACAAGGTGGGCTGGGCGAGCGGCGCGCGCCGCTCCTGGGCCAACTCTGACGGCGACCCGGGCTCGGACAGCGCCGCCCACCAGCAGGGCAGGAAGTACCTGGTCAGGGTGCGCTACGAGGGACGCCGCAGGTGGTTCCAGTGCCTGTTCTGCACCAAGGAGTTCCGCAAACCGTACGACCTGGTGCGACATCTGCGCATCCACACCAAGGATAAACCGTTCAAGGTGAGGACTGAGGACGTTTGTGAGATTAGTTGTCCATTAGTCTCCTTTATATTGTGGTTTATTTGTTAATCCTTTTGCTGGTTGTGACACAATATGGCCGTCATTTGACCTGCACAGGAGATCATTTTAAAGTAAGCAGTCGTTTCTGATTCTGGTAATTAAAGATTTATTGCGGAGTGTTTTCGTGAGGAACATCGTTCGATGCGATTGTAGAATATCAATGCCTTTTTTCTTCGGACGAAATGCTGTTGCTGACCCACACCCGTCCTTTAGTGCGCGCAATGCCACCGGACGTTCACCGTCCGCTCCGGGCTGGAGGCGCACATGCGCGTCCACCGTGGAGTAAAGCTGGCCTCCTGTCCCATCTGCCAAAAAGAGTTCTCCACTGCCAGCGTTCTCAGGGTGCACCTCAGGTGAGTTGTGTAATCTGTCGCAAGGAGTTTGTGTCATTTTAACGATTTTGCATGATATCGTAATTCGTAAAATAGAGTACCTATGTGTGGTCATGAATGAAGGACGGACTTAGGTTGGTGCTCATGTTTTTAAGGTCTACTCACTGTCTATTTCGCTGTTGCCGGATGCATTAGTTACATTGCATTTCGCCATATCGCTCCGTACCGTCCCGCGTCCCTCTCTCTAACTGATGTGTGACCGCCACACCCCGCCCATCCACAGGGTTCACACGGGCGCCAAGCCGTACTCGTGTCAGTACTGTAACAAGGCCTTCCGCACGCTGGGCAACAAGAACACCCACGAGTCGTTCCACCGCGCTGGCGACCTCGATGATAACGGTGAGTAGTCGACGCTGCCGTACTGCAGCCACATGTGACAAAGGGAAACTGTCACCAACCATCTTACCAGGGGCGGAGCTTCCTATTCACTTGGTCGGGCGGCTGCCCCACCAACTTAAGCCGATTTGCAGGACTTAACTGCTTAGCAAACCAATGTTTTTCGCATTGAGGAGCTTTGAAATGTCTGTGTAATGCAAAATATTATCTCTGTAATGAAAATAATTGATTTATTGTTGTATTTTATCCAACTTAACAATCGGACATTGTAGGTTTGACAACTTTTTGCCCAACCAACTTTCCTGGAAAGGCTCCACCCATGCATCATACCGCTTTGATGTGACTGAGACCAGTCTATTCGTACATAACTTGCCATATGGTACAGTTTGTCCTACGCGGATCCGTACCTGGCCTGACCTGTTACCCACCCCGTCTGACCGGCAGGTAAAGACATGCGCGCCCAGCGGCGAAAGGCGGACGCCACTGGTATCGATGACGTACAGCTGGAGCCGCCGATACGGATCACCGATGACGGTCAGTCGACAGGGCACTCAGAACGCCCTCTTTCCATTCTATTGCACTCGTTCTGTCACTTTTCCCTTCTACCGTAAATTTCCTTTCCACCTCCATTCTTCTATTGTTTACCTCTCATGTCCCTCCCTCTCTATTTACTTTTTCTGTCTCCTTCTTACTCTATATCTCTCATTCTCTCATCCCTCTCCATCATCATGCTATCCCCCTCTCTAGTCTCTCCTCTATCTCTGACATAGACGTCAATACGAGGCAGAAGAGTGATGTGCTAGCTGCTCCCTCTTCTCATCGTGCTTTCGCATTTCTATTTGTTGGCGATGCTTTTTTCTCGTCACAGACGGGCAGCCTGGTAGATTATACCGTCCCCTCTCTCACTCACAGGCAGTCTGGTTCAGGAGGACACGCGCCGCGGTCAGCAGCAGCAACTCGCCGACGGAGAGTCCTCCGAGGACCGTCCTCACCGCTGCTCAATCTGCCACCTCGCCTTCAAGAAGGTCTCCCACATGCGCCAGCATTACCGGCGCCACACGGGCGAGCGGCCGCACCAGTGCCGATTCTGCTCAAAGTCAGTACTTCGACTGCGCTCTGTTGGTCTATCGAGCCCTCCTCCGATGGTTTATTTGTTCGTTAATTTGCCACACTTAACCCGCGCACCGACGGGGGGGGGGGCGGATATCCGCCCCCCCCCCCTGAGGTTTTTCGCGAATAGCGGGAAAACCGCGGCGCTACGGCGCCGCGAAATTTGGTATGACTATTCCCTCATCAATTTTACACATGGTGTGCAAGTTTGAACCTCCTACCTTTTAAGGTCAGGTCACCAGGTCACTTTGAATGACCCAACCTCAAGTCACTTTTTTGCAACTTTGTCACCGTGCCAGAGCTACAGTAGATGTCGGAGACCTTTGAAAGTCGCAGGATGTTATTAGGTCATTAGTAGCTACAATTTGTATATCTCGGAATTTTGATATCGGTGACCTAAGGTCAGGTCAATTTCGCGACCTACCCATTATAAGTCAATGGGGGAAAAATCAACTCCCTGTTTTTACCACTAAAACGGGTCGGAATGGCCACATATACCATACATGACTTCATATACGATCAACCGACACTACCATGAGGTCTGTTTTGCTTTTGGACAGCTGTGAGGTCATGTGACGTCATCAAAGGTCACCAAAGGTTTTTGGCCAATAACTCCGTACAGGAACAAGATACAGCCGCGTGGATGGTCTCATTGTGTTCAGCTCGTCAAGACGCATCGAATGATATACATGATGACCTCGAGGTCACGTGACCTGAGGTCAACCTTTGACCTTGACCTTTCGAGGTCAACATATATATCATTCGATGCGGATTGACGAGAGGATCACGATGATGCCCTTAGTTTGTTCCTATCTTGACTAATTCGAAAGTTATTCGAGAAAAACTCTCCATATCTAGCGCCGCCATTTTGACTTTTTCGACCCCTGTGACGTCATCTTTGACTTGACCTGAAAATGACCTTAGTAAAAATTGTAGATCTTGACCGTGCGTATCCGATGCCGTTTACCGCTTGTCGCTATCTTGCTTCGTTCTCGAGATCTCAGGGGGGGGGGCGGTCATCCGCCCCCCTCCCGTCGGTGCGAAGTTGGCGCAGACCCTCGTCGGTGCGCGGGTTAAGCTGCTGGCTGTGATTCTATTGGGCTTCCACAGTTTACTTTAAATACATGCAGCTGTGTTTTATGTAGGTTGATCAAGAGACGCACATCACTGGATGACGTGTTGCTGTTCTTTGGACTACTGCTCACCGCCCCGTCACCGTTACCCAAGTTATTGTTTCCCTGACATTGATGATAGCATCGGATACCCACTCCCTCGTGTCCGTCAGACTTCTTCGACTCTTACAACCATGTCTGTGTCTGCTCCTACAGGGGCTTCATCACGTCCAGCGCGCTCACCACTCACGAGCGAACGCACACGGGTGCGCGCTTCTACAAGTGTCCCATCTGCAGCGTGTCTTTCACCACCGGCAGCAGCCTCAAACGGCACATGTCCACACACACGGAGGTCAGTGGGTGCTGGGGAGGGCACTGGTCTAGTACTCACAGTGGCTGAGGACGGCACACATGTCCACACTCAGTAAGCCAGTGGACGGGGAAGATCATGGACAAACTAGCAGCTTTAGTGGAGATATTTAACCACTGATCGGAGATCGATCGGTATAATTGACTAGCTGTTCGGACGATAATGCAGATAGCTCTGTGACCGTCGCATGAAGTGTTGCCCATATGACTCCACGTCTCTCGGGATGCCCCCCGTGTCTCATCATGTTATGTCACACCACTCTCCACCACTTACCACCTCGTGCCGCAGCCATCGTTTTGCTACCCCTTATGTCGCATCCCTCCTCATAACACACACCCTTGTGACACACCCCATTTCGCTACCCCTGATCATATCTTACCCCTGTAACGTGACGTCCCTCCCGCTCTCCACCCAGGATCGCCCCTTCATGTGCCCGTACTGCCATCGGCGCTTCAAGACACGCATCATCTGCGCCAAGCACACGCGCACCCACAAGGCGGACCTGGCGCGTGGTGTTCAACCCCAGGTGAGTAGGGTGGGGTGCTGAAGGGGTGGGGCGGGGTCGTGACCGGGACATTATGGGCGTGGGAAAATGGACTGGGATTGGAGCGGTGAGGGTTTTGCAGGCTGGGAGAAGAGGAAAGCTGGTGCAGGTGCGACTGGTTTTTCAAGATGTTGATCAGTGAAGTCAGGTAAAGGGTTGCGCTTTCTTTAGGCCTGTTCTGGCGCGTTTGTGGCCGAAATAGCTCAGTTGGGAGAGCGTTAGACTGAAGATCTAAAGGTCCCCGGTTCGATCCCGGGTTTCGGCAGTTTTGAGGTCTGGAGACAAAGATATGTGTACTGTGTGTCTGCGAAAGTGCCTGAGTTGATTCTCGTTGCCGAAGGCATAGATGCCTTCGACGTTCGGAAAAATCAGGGTCTGGCAGATCTGCCAGACCCTGATTTTTCCGAACGTCTACGGGGGTATGACCAATTTCCTGGGTGCTTTCCCCCACTGAAATGCCATCTTTGCGTCCATGGGGGGGTCTTGCCTTCTGATTATCAATCAGCTGTTGGCTCGTTCGTGCGCACGTGGTCCTGAAGTGACGTAAATGACATCGATTTTCCTGACGTGTAGCGAGCCGTGCTGCTGGCCCCGCGCGCTGGACCCGGATGCGGCGGAACGTGGCCGAAATAGCTCAGTTGGGAGAGCGTTAGACTGAAGATCTAAAGGTCCCCGGTTCGATCCCGGGTTTCGGCAGTTTTAAATCCTTCTAGTTTGAGATCTTTGAATCTTTTGAGGTCCCCGAACTCAATTTATAATGCTGCTGAAGTTGAACCCTTCTAACTCAATTTAGAAAGCTGTTGCACTCGAATTTCTAGGTCTCAAGTCACACTGTTATTGAACTTGAACCTTTCGACTCGTATAACACTGCTGTTTGTCTCAAATTCTTCAGGCTCAAATAACAATGCTGTTGAAACTTTAACCTAAATACTGGTCGCTCTCTTGATTGACGGCTGATGGTCTCTTATTTCTTTGGCACACTTACAATAGCCCTGAATGTCCACTCAACCCTTGGTTGGTGACTGGTGTTCAATTTAGTGCTTACAGTGTAGTGCTTAGTGCTATCAGTCTTTTTGCGTCCTGTTATTTCTCGTAACGTCTGGTGATATTTGTAAGGGTCTCGTCTATGAGTTAAAAGCTTACGGACCTGTTTCTCTATATGTTGTCTCTTTAATTCCCTATTTAATGACGTCACTACGTTCCTTTGGTATTTCCAGCGATTCCAGTCGTAATTAGTGTTTGATCGTTTTGCTAGTTTGAAAAGTCTGTCGCGTTTTCTTATGCTTTTGTTAAGTTCAGTTGACAGCCAAGGTTTTTTACATGGTTTGATGTAAATGGTCTTTCGAGGAATAGCTTTCTCACCGGCATCTAGTAAAACATTAATGAATCTTTCAGTCGCCTCATTTACGTCGTGATCTAAAATGTCTTCCCAATCAACGTCAAGCAATAATCGTGTTAAAAGTTCTGAGTCGAGGTTCGAATAGTCCCATATTTGCCTGCGTGTGTCATTGCTTGTGTTTGATGGGCACGATATTTTATATCCCACCATTTGAAGGAAAAGACGGAGAAATACTTACTGACAATTACACAAAGGCTACCCTTCTAAACGAATTTTTCGCCGGACAAACCAAAACTGACAAAAATGTGACACTCTTACAGACAGCTATTCGAAGAACAGACACTTCGCCGGTACCCACTCTGGACAAAATTACCACATCTGAAAGAGAAGTTCTGCAAATTCTAAATTCCCTAGACGCCAACAAATCTACCGGCCCAGACAACATCCCTGTGAAACTTTTAAAATTAACTGCCATCTTAATTGCATCCCCTTTGTCGAAACTATTCAACAAATCACTAGCGCTAGGCATTTACCCTTCCAAATTCAAAGAGGCCAACATCAAACCAATATTTAAAAACAAAGGCTCCCCATCTGAGCCCACAAACTACCGCCCCATAAGTCTTCTTTCTTCGTTGTCCAAAGTTTTTGAAAAAATAGTCCACAAACACATATATGCACATCTTTCCCACCATAACCTCTTGACAGATAAACAGAGTGGGTATCGGCGAGGCCATAGCGCAGAACAACAAATATTATACTTGACACATAATTTATACAAGGCATTGGACTCAGAAAGCGATTTTACTGCTATTTACCTGGACATTTCAAAATACTTTGACAAAATTTGGCACGAGGGACTTTTGTACAAATGTAGACATGAATTTGGCATCACTGACTCACTTTACGACTGGCTAAAATCTTACTTGTCTGATAGACGACAGAGAGTTCAGATCGGCGATACCTTTTCAAAAACAGAAATTATCAACGCCGGATGCCCACAGGGTTCGGTTTTGGGTCCTCTTCTAGCCCTCATTTACCTCGATAACCTCTCTACTAGAACACAAAACGACATTTTATTTTTCGCAGACGACGTATCGCTATATGCATCCCATACAAAACAAAATTTGAACACAACACAGACGTCATTACAAAATGATCTCAATGAAATACAAAAATACGGTAAAGAATGGGCGATTACTTTTAACGTAAGCAAAACAATACAACAGACATTTTCACGCAGCCCACAAAACACACCACCTGCTCTTACATTTGGGGACGACATAATACCCATTCACGAAAACCATGCTCATCTGGGAATGACATTTTCAAAGGACTTGCGGTTTCATCAGCACATTAACGAAATTTGCAAAAAGGTAAACAGAACCATGAGCCCATTGTACTCCATTGCTCCATACATCCCCCGAGAAATTTTAGATCAAATTTACAAAACATACACGAGACCACATTTTGACTTTTACGACACAGTTTATGACGGACATATTACGCTCCAGGACACACAGAGACTTGAAGTTTTACAAAACAGAGCGGCTCGGCTTGTGACTGGCACTTTATTTAGAACACCAACTGACAAATTGTTAAAAGACCTAGGATGGAACAAGTTAAAAACAAGAAGAGAGATGCACAAAATAACACTATATCATACACTCAATAGCCACATGCAAAAAACTCCCAACTACATCAAATCAATCATACCGGACACCCGCTCACAAAGAACAGGAAGGACCCTGCGAAATCACAGGAACCATACACTCCAACCACATCGCACCACATCCTATCAGTCATCGTTTTTCCTTTCAACTGCCAAACTATGGAACCACCTCCCAGAATCATTAAGATCCTTGCCACATACATCCTTCAAAAAAGAAATTAACCAGCGACTAGGGATGCCCAAACCCCCAGACTACTACAAAATTGGCTCAAAAACTGGAAATATTTTACATACCCGACTAAGAACTGAAATGTCTTGTCTAAATTCTCATCGTTTTCAAATCAACAAAGCAGATTCGCCTGAATGTTCTTGCGGCCACTTCAAGGAAGATGTCCGCCACTACGTAATATTCTGTCGAAATTATGATGCCCAAAGGAAAACACTATTTGATAACGCTTCTCGTATACTGAGAGAAAATTTTGCAAATTACTCACCCGACCAAAAATTGAACATTCTTATCCACGGAGATCGCTTGAGTGGCGAGGGCAGTCGAGAAATGGCTTACGCCTTTCAAAAGTTTTTGACAAAAACAAATAGATTTTCGTAGTAACAAATAAATTCATTCAGTTTTCAAAATTTGCAATCCCGAGGGCTGAGCGGCTGATGGAACACCAAAATTTACCGCTCATGAGCGACTGGTCAGCGGCGGCGGCGGTTGTTTCACATGTTTTATTTTTGTTTCAGAGTGGTGCCTCGAGTTAAGCGATTGCGCTTTTGCACCACTCTGCTATCACTTTTATGTTGCTACATTGTGCCATATGTTTCATTGATCATGCTTTATTTCTCGTGTATCTTTTGTTCCTTAATAAACGTTTTGTGTGTGTGTGTGTGTGTGTGACCAGAAAGTGCGAGGCAATGCCTAAACTTCTGCGAAATTCTAATGCTGCTGAGTGTTGAATTTGTATCTTACAAAGGTACTCTGTCTACGAAGTTAAGACTGACGTAAGACACTGAACTGAACCGTCTTGCGGGCCATTGCCACAACATGAAGATCTTGTCCAAGATGGAGAAAGCGGTGACGGACTCCTGCTCCGGTGGTGAACAGGGTCGGCTTTTAACTTGCCGAGAAGGACTGTCCTGTGTGACAAGGCTGAGACCTTGGTCCGCACCTCTTCAAACGCTAGGTGCTACACATGTCAAAAGAGGCGGAACGGTCAGTGAAGGTTGACTTGAAGGCGGTGAAGGGGCACATCCGTGCACACTCGCTGGACAACAAGACGGTACTTATCAGTTCTTCGCTAGGCAAGGGACAATGCTGAAACAGCTTAGAAATCTGATACGAAAGAAAGACCCGGTGTGGACGATTTGTGCGCAGGACATGGCATCAGCTAAGGCCGATCGCCGAGAACATGCTGCTGCATCCCATCAACAAGTTGCGGGGCACCGCTGTCCATTGAGGTCCTATCGGTATAGATAAGGGTGGTCATCATCCTCATTTCAAGGCAGGAAGGGTCGCCAAGAGTGGATAGCCGTGGCAAGGCTCTCGCATCTTCTGGAGCAGGAGTACATTTTCTCTGCAGAGCAGGTCGATTTCTGTTGCAGCAGCTCTCCGGAAGAGAACGTGGGACGACGTACACGTGAAGGCCAAGGCGGGTGGAACATAATTCCACCGTCAGGATGCCCGCCTGACGGCAAGACCGCCACTAGCTTTGTGTTTACCACCCACGACTTCCCCCGTACCCATGGCGTAATCGATCATCGAATGCTGCGATTGAAGATGTCTCGCCACCTCGTAACGTGGACCTACAATTTCCCTTGTGACCGATGCACCTGCGCGGCGGTCGGCGCACCACGCCGAAATCACCCCTTCCGAGCTGGCTTCCCGCAAGGATCCGTCTTTGCTCCGATCCTGTTCACGCTGTGGTCGGCGAACCTTGTCGCGGTGATGAAGTGAGTCGCGGCCACATCCGTCTTTGTGTACGCCGATGGAACGGCAACACTGTGCTCCGGGGAACGCTAGATGAGGACAGGAACCATGCGCAGCTAATAAGGGACACCATAGCGAAATGTGTTTTGGACTGTGAGATGTCGATTGCGGATAGCAAAAAGCGAGAGTCTCGCTCTGTCACGACGCTTCGAAGAGTCGACGCCAGCAATCAACATATCTTCGTGGACTAAGATGACCGTTCGAACCTGGGCCCTATGGTCTGCGGGAACCGCGGCTGCGAGGCCGATTCCCCGCAACGTCCGATTCGCGCATGGAGCAGCGTGAAGTGGGGATGCGCACGGCAGCCCGCGTGATCAGCGGTCACGCCAAGGGATCCGCTCTTGACGGGTGAGGGCCTGCCGCCTGGTCCCTGTGAAGGTGTGCCGGGGTATGACTGTCAGATTGAGCTGTCAGGTAGTACTGACAGCTTCCCAAATAAGCGGTGACTAAATGACAGCCCCTCGACGACTCCGAACCACCACGGACTGGCAAGACGCGGAAGCGCGAGGTGACGATTGCATTCGTTCAGAACGTACCAATGTAGAAGCACTGAATGTCGCAATTCTCCTTTCTAACACATTCAGTCTTCTGATTAACCAATAACTGACTGACGGACTGCGATGTGAGAGTAGAGGGACGTCTCTCCGCCCGCTTCTAAGCAACTCCACCGGCTCATCACTAGTGTGAGTTGTCCGTTGTTGTTGATGCTTTCATCCGCTTAACGCTTGAGGCGAAGCTGAGGGGCTATATAGACATGTGGGCGGCCCCCAGGGCCGCCACGACGTCGCTGTTCCGCACCTCTGCTTTGTTAAGGTTGATAGATCCCAGCGAACGACGCCGGGCCCGGATGCCCATCAGTTCCGGGCATCGCAGGAGAATGTGCTGCTGGGTTTCCGCCTCCTCCCGGAAAACGGCGCAGAGTGCGGCTCCACAGTGATCGTCGTCGTACTAGTCGCACCCCGCCAGCCGGGAGGGCGACGTCGATTTGGACTTGTACTTGGTCGAGGCTGCTCGCTTCTTTGGCGATGGTGTCAGCCCTCGTTTTTGCCTCTAGACCGCAGTGTGACGGTGCCCACTGCAAGTACAAGTAGACCCGCCGGCCTCCGGCTGCCAGTCATCGAAGGGTCCTCCAGATATCAACTCCCAGCGGGAAGTGTTGGACATCCGAGCCACCTCGGAGGGTGGTGAAAGCAGACTGTCGGGTCAGTGCAGGCTACGACTGGGCTGTTGGCGTGTATAAGTAGTGGGTTCTCCAACTGGAAGGGAAGAGCAGCTCGAAGGGCGACCATCTCAGCTCGGAAACTGGAGCACAATCGGCGTACAGCGGTGTGGATCGTGTACTCCTCTTCGTCCGGCCACACGATGAGAGCCCTGGCGCCTCGTCTAGGACGCCGTCGGTGGCCGAGCCGTCGCTCCATACCCAGGTGGCGCACTGTGGAGCACCGCCAGGCGCTGCGAGGCCACGCTCCTCTTGCATTAACCGCTAGCTGCTGGTGGTGGAAAAGCGGCTCCGATGTCAAGTCCGAAGGAGACGGGTGAAGAGGCCTCTCACGGTGGGTCCGGTAGGGCGAGGATTGGCTCGATTGGTGCTTTGATGTCAGCCAGCCGCCAGATATCCTCGCCTACTCTTCTCCACTCCGTCACGGTGCTGAGGCGGTCTGGGGCCTGGCTCTCTGAATCGCCTCGTCCACTTCGTAGCTAGCAGCGCTGCCGAGGGGTTCACACGACAGCTGCACATTTGCTCCGATTCCTCGCAACTCGGACCGGTTTTCGCAGCCACTTGGGCATCACCTGCAGTTAGCCATGCCTTTGCGAGTTCGTGTTTGAGTACTCAGCACAGGAGGCACGTGAATGACTGATTTTCCTGGCGAGTTCCTAACCAGTGCTCCGGGCCCCGCGCGCGATTGGAGCCCAAACGGCCCGAACCGTGGCCGAAATAGCTCAGTTGGGAGAGCGTTAGACTGAAGATCTAAAGGTCCCCGGTTCGATCCCGGGTTTCGGCAGTTTTGAGTGTTTGTTCATTGCTTGAGGTATCAACGTTCTTGAAGACCATCACAAGTCACAACCCTTTCAGACTCGTCGAACAGCTCTCTTGGACTTGATTTCTATAGTCGCGAAATTCCTCGGGCACTTTAAACAGTGTCGTTTAACGCTGAGCTCTGTTCTGACTTCTGGGTTGCAGGGCTATGGGACTGAGATTACATGGCTCAATTGAAAATGTCGTTGAGCGTGCGCCTCATGGTCTCAGGTTACGGGCTGTTGATTGTTGAACTCGGATATCTGAACTCACTTTACAATACTGTTGAACATGATCTTCATCTTCTCAGGTCGCAGGCTACTGTATTCTCGCTTTTGGGTCTCAAATTACAATAGCCTAGAAAATAGTGATTTATGCTGGGCTTTTCAAAGCTGCTGAACTCGATTTTCGTCATCGACATCACTGACATACCTAACCGCCATGCAATGTATCACTGTTAGCTGTCGTTGAGTCGTTCCATTCGTCACAGCGTGTGCACTTGCAGCGTTCTGGAATGATGCTCATGCTACTTAGCATTGTGGTGGTGGATATTGGGGGAGGGGGGTATTCGTGTGTGTATGTGTGTGGGGGGGCTCTCCTGGGATCCTACAATACTGGGACATGCTACTGCCGCAAACGCTTCAGCGTTTGCAGCATCACACTGCGCTCTGCCCATTGGTAGCCTTCCGTGATGGTCTTGTCCCACCATGACCACCCCCGACAGCGTGAACCCTGTCCCATCTCCCCTGACGGTCCTATCCCGCCTTCCCTGACGGCGCTGTCCCACCTCCCCTGACGATGCTGGCCCTCCTCTTGGGACTCTGTCCCACCTCCCCACCTAGAGACTCTCCTGATGGCCTTGTGATGACGTTTCTCTCTTACCTCCCCTGACCGTCCTGCTCCCACCTCCCGCAGCCGGACGTGGAGTGCGCCACCGCTCTTGGTGTTGGAGCCGACGAACCGGAGCCAGATCCGGATCCGGACCCGGATCCGGAGCCGGAGCCGGAGCCGGAGGCGGCCGGGGACGGCGGCGGAGACGGCACGCTCTTCTCCGGACTGATGGGAGAGGAAGAGCAGCAGCTGCTGGCCACGGGACTGGCGGACGGAGGGTACACGGCGCGCGCGCAGAACGTCAGTGTGATTGTGGACCACCACGGCAGGATGGTGCAGTGTGAGTTGGAGAGGGCGAGGGTGGTGTGGAGGACGGGATGGGTGAGCAAGGAGAGGACGTGGGGTGGGTGAGGGGGGAGTTGAGGTGTGGTGTGGGCCGTGGGCGAGGGGGACGTGGGATGTGGCACATGGGCCGAGGGAGTGAGGGAAGGGGGCATGGGCTGCTAGCTCGTTGACTCAGGTGGCAAAGGACACATTTTTCACTCCCCCATCCTCCGTTTTTCAGGCGTTTCACCCCTTTTCCTCCTTTTCTTCCCAAACAGGTGAGCTGGCTCCCGGGCAGGTGCAGACGCTGACGACCAACCCCGACGGTACTGTGGCGATCACCGGACTCACCGAGCATCAGAGCGGCGCACAGGTGAGTCAGCTGAATGGAGAGACCATCCCAGAGGACCAGGTGAGTCTGCTGAACGGAGGGAACATCACAAAACTGACCGAGCACCAGAACGGCGCGCAGGTGAGTCACCTGAACGGAGCGACCATTTTTGGGCTCACTGAGGACCAGACGAGTCTGCTGAACGAAGGGACCGTCACCGAGGACCGCGGCGGTGCGCAGGTGAGTCACCAGAACAGCGAGTGAGGCCGGAGTCGCCGCCCGCGCGCGAACTCGACGGACCGCGCGGAGGTCGTGGCCGAAATAGCTCAGTTGGGAGAGCGTTAGACTGAAGATCTAAAGGTCCCCGGTTCGATCCCGGGTTTCGGCAGTTTTGATTGTTTGAGCTTGAAGCTGCGCTGAATTCGGATGTGTTGTGTTGTTTGCAGCTCTTCGCATTATTTTTATCATGTTGGCACTCCGCTCGCGGATATTTTGACATATTTCGGACTGAAATGATGCTGATTAGCGTGATCCTTCAACACTTTTATCATACAAAATACTGTGGAAATTGAGCCGCTTGCGCTCAGTTCAGAAGCTGTTGAAATTGGATGTATCGTTCTCCGATTACGCTGCTGTTGGTTTCCAGTTTCTCAGACTCAATTTATTGCACTGTTGAAATCGGACCTTTTGACTCGGATGACGCTGTTGTTGGGCTCGATTTTCTCGGGCAGTTTCCAAGGCCGCTGAAGTTAAGCCTTCTCGAATTACAATGGAGGCCGGCTTGAATTACTCAAGATAATTTTACATAGTCGAGCTTCAACGTTTCGTATGCGGTTTGCACAATCACTAAACTTCAAGTTTCTGGCCCCATTTGCAAAGCTGTTTAATCTGTTGCTCTCAGCTTACAAGACTGTTGACTCGAATTTCATCTTGCAAGGCTGTCAACTCGAAGCTTTTGTTCTCAGCTTACGAGACTGTTGACTTCCATTTATTTGGCTCATTTTATCGACGTTCCACTCGTAAGTCACAGGTCACGGCCCCACTTACACCTTATGCCCTTTCGTGTCACCAGGCGGGCCTGGATCACCAGCTGGCCTCGGGTCTGGAGCAGCAACTGTTCACCAGCGCTCAGCTGACCCAGGACAAGACAGCTGACTCGTCCGGCGCTCACCAGCAGACGCTGGTGATAACCAACATCGCCTCCCTCGGTCAGACGCATGGTAAGGGAGGGGAGAGAGGGAGAGAGAGAGAGGGAGAGAGAGAGAGAGAGAGAGAGAGAGAGAGAGAGAGAGAGAGAGAGAGGGAGGGAGGGAGGGAGAGGGAGTGGGAAGGGAGAGAGTGGCCTGCGAGGGTGATGAGGCTGACGGGGGTGAGAGGAGCCGGCGGTATACCCGGCGATCGTGCAGAATAAATTCGGGTCATACGAAAGGAATGGGTTATTTGCTACATGGTTGATTGAAATGATGTGGATTGGTGATCGCAAAACATAAGCTGGTGAATGGTGTAAATCATTCGTTGATGTTAGGAGCGAATGACCAGCTCAGCGTGCTCAATACCCCATGCTCCACTCCCGCAGACGGTACGGTGGCGGTGGCCGAGACTGGGCTGGACCCGGCGGCAGCGGCGGGCGGCGACATCGACTCGGATGACGATGAGGTGCTGCGCCTGCGGAACGAGCAGCACGGCCAGATGATTCTGGAGATGGACTCGGACAACATCCTGCTGCAGGTGGGCGGGCCGAGACGCTGGAGGCGGGGAGGCTTGGTTTGAGAATCGACAAGAAAGTCGTTGATTGCTTCAACTTTTCCCAATTCCTTGCCTGTGATGCTTGTCGGTAATTGGAACAATGTCGGGTTACGGTGGTGTTGTGAGCTATTAAGTGCTGATGCATGATTTCTACCCTTTATTTGCAGGACCCGTCGCTCTCCCAGCCGCTGATTCATCGGTGCCGCATCTGTAAGAAGATGTTTACCACGCAGCTGGCCCTCGCGGTGAGTACAGAGAACACACTCTACCCTACTCCACATTGCATGGTTTATCTTCAATTACTAGATTGGTTACATGTGGCTGCCGGCTGGTTTTTACGAGTGACATCCCAGCCGCGGCCCCGCTCTGACCCCGCTCTCCGTCCCGCCCGCTGACAGGCCCACGAGGAGGAGCACGGTATCGGCGTCACGGCAGTCACCCCGGCGGCCCCCGCTCCGGCCGCGGCGGCCGCCACCCGGCCGACCGAGGCGCACCTCTGCACTCAGTGTGTGAGCGTGTTCGGGTCGGCGGAGCAGCTGGCCGCCCACCAGGCTACCCACGAACCCCAGCCGGCCCAGCAGCCGCCAGCGCCGGCCCAGAGCCGACCGGCGACGGCGGTGGCCCAGGAGCCGCAGGAGGAGACAGGACATCAGTGTACCATCTGTGGGGCATCGTTCCTGAACGCGACCTCACTGAAGAAACACATGGCCGGCGAACACAAAAAGTCTAAGAAGAAAAACAAGGTGAGAGGGATATTCATGGGCCAGGGAGGGAGGAGAGGAGGGCTCAGGAGGAAGACCAGTGAATGTGCTACTCGGTGGATCGATTGTTTGGTATTGTTTCCGATTATTTTTTATAGTACGTTCAAAAGATCGAAGCGCAGAACACTTCCTCTTTTCGAACAATGAGACTAGCAGTCACCACGCGATCATGGCGACTTCCTCTCACCAGACTGTCCGCAGCTCAGTCAGACGGACTGGCGGCCCCGAACTAGGTTACAACTTACAGCTGCGTGCCATAAACCGACGACGCGGCGTGTCATAAACCGGCGGCGCCCGCATGGCCGTGCGGGTCAGTTTACTTTACAACTTGACACACTCGCGCACCCACTCAATAATTCGAACACGCTCCCCCACTCCACAAATCTCCGTTACTGATAGGGGTTAGCAGGACGTCGCTCCCGTCAACTTCTGCGCAACGTTGCTAAATCGCTGGAAGACCGTCTGTTTCGCTTCAAGTAGCATCTATCTATCGGTAGACGCAACCACTCTCGTATGATTTGGGCCGACACCTAGGACGCAAGCAAGACAGACTGCACCACCCACGGATAATGGCACAGCGAGCAGCGCATCCATTGCTGAATGGAGACAGAGAGAAGGCTGGCGCCGAGCGGGTCTCAGTTAGGGACACAGCTGCGTGCCATAAACCGAAGCGTTGGCGTCGGAAGTGCCGCTTGGGCCAGTTTATTGCTTTACACACTCAGTGCACCCTCACATTATGCGGTGTGCCTCTGTGCATGGCCTCGCGAGAAATGAGGACCCCTTGTAAATTGTAATATTATCCTTTCTTTTTCAGCGTGCCCCGCCCTTGTGTTCTCAATATGTCCTGTCCTTCCGTTCTCAATGCGTCCAGCCAGGGGTTGTTTATGACAACAGTGTGTTCACAGTGTGCCGTGCCTGCCCTGACCAGTGACCTGACCTGTTCCGTGTCCCTTTCAGCCGGTGATTCGACTCAGTGAAAAGCTGACTGCAAAGCTGGCAGAGCAGCCGCTCAACACCACCCGGTCTCAGGCGGAGATCTGCCTCATCCAGTCGGCCGTCGAGAAGGTCCAGAACGGCCCAGTTCCGGTAAGGACTTATCTCTGACCTGCTCAACTAATCAAAATAATCTCATGAGACTAATTAGGACAGGGTGCATTGTGGTCGTTTGTACTTTCTGACCGCTCCATGCCAGTGCCGAAATAGCTCAGTTGGGAGAGCGTTAGACTGAAGATCTAAAGGTCCCCGGTTCGATCCCGGGTTTCGGCAGTTTTGAATGTTTGAGGTCCAATGTGCAACAGTGTAGACATTCTAGTCTCAGGTTTCAGTCATTTTTGAAGTACTGTGCTCGATTTGGATGATACGGGCATTGGAACTTACGTGCTAACTACACGATGCCATTGGAATCGAATTTCTCGGGCTCAATTTAACTTGTCGCTGAACGTGAGCCTTGCACACTCGAATTTCTCGGGCTCAATTTACAGTGTTGCCGAACGTGAGCCTTGCGTACTCATATTTCTCGGGCTCATTTTCAATGCCCCTGAACGTGAGCCTTGCTTACTCAAATTTCAAAGCTGTTTACCCGGTTTTTTTCGGGCTCAATTTGCAATGCCGTTGAACGTGAGCATTCCATACTCAAATTTCAAGGCGGTTGGGCTCGAATTCATCGGGGTCATTGTACGTCGCCGCTGAACATGAACCTTGGGTACTCGAGTTTCTGGGTTTCATTTTACACGCCATTGAACGTGAGCCTCGTGCATTCAAATTTCATAGCTTTTGCACTCAATTATATTGATTGCACTCAAGTTTTATTGATATGGAACGTGAACTTTGTGTAGTCATTTCCATAGTTGTTGGACTCTAATTTCTTGGTCCCTGACGTTGAACGTGGACTGATGGAGTGTTGGAACGATTCCTCACTGGTCTGCTGTGGCCGTTCAACTCTCCGTGACTGTTGACCTCCGTGTGACCGTTGACACTTGACCCCCACCTGCGTATGACTGGTGACCTCAATGGCAGCTGTTAACCTCGACCTCTGTAACTTCTTACCTGATGACCGTTGCTACCTCATATGTGACCGTTAACCTCCCCTTGACCGTTGACCTCCCAGTGACCGTTGACCTCCCCGTAACCTCTGACCTCTCTGACCTCTCGTTGACCTCTGTGTGCCAGCGGGCCGAGCCAGAGGACGCGGCCGAAGTCCAGCTGAAGCACAGCTGCCAGATATGTAACAAAGCGTTCCGCAAGCCGTCTGACCTGGTGCGACACGTCCGCACTCACACGGGAGAGAAACCCTTCGCCTGCGAGATCTGCGGCAAACGGTGAGCGCGGCGAGATGTGCAACAAAATGTGAGATCAGCGAGATGCATCGCACAGTAATGGGATATGTTATTCGGCAAACAGGCGGTAGGAGTACATGTTTTGCCCTAATATTGTTTTTTTTAATTACGAGGTAGTTTTGGCTGGTGTGTATTTATTTATTAGTTACATTATACTTGCAAGTTTCACTTTACGTTGTTACATTGACTTAAGTCCTGTAAAAGTAAGTATGGGCTATACGATCAGCGTTATATATATGTAAACCATACCTGACTCTCCGTCTCCCTCAGTTTCACGGTGAAATCGACCCTGCTGGGCCACATGCGCACCCACTCCGGCCAGCGCGACTTCCATTGCCTGGTGTGCAAGGCGTCCTTCAGCACCAAGTGCTCGCTACGCGTCCACTCGCGGCTGCACACGGGCGCGCGGCCGTACGTGTGTGAGGTGTGTGGCCGGGCGTTCCGCACCTCGGGACACCGCAGCATCCACATGACGACGCACGGCTTCCAGCGCGGTGGCCGGCGCGCCGCCGCTGCGGGCGAGAAGGCGGCTGAAGGGGGGACGGAGGGCCGGCAGGAGGGCGGTGCTCGCGGCGGACAGACGGCAGGACAGACGCTGACTGCCCAGCTGCAGGTGAGACCGCCACTGCGTACATATTTTGTTCGATCCGCACTGTACCTTCGATTCGATCTTAACATCCGATACGACTCTCGCTGACGAAGAATTGTAATACAATTCGAAAGCTCCGACCCAACGAACTCTTGTGGAGTAAGTCCGATTTCATTTTAATTTACGCCTGCCCCTGTAGTCCGGTGAGCATCCACTGAGTGGTTGTGCCTGCGGACTGAAGGCGATCTGTGCTATTGTGTTTTATTTGAATTGTATGCCTTCTGCAGATGGCATTGTGAGACTATTTGCCACTTTCCGCCTCATCGTGGTTCTTTTATCAGTTCCTGCCCCCTCTACCCCTCACCTTCCGCTGCTCCTTACAACCCATACACCCACATTCGTCTGTAAGACCCCGGTAACCGATGCAGCCCAGTGCCCTAAAATCCAGACATCTTCCTCACCATGCTCTGTTGATCCTCAGGGAGTGCTGGAGGAGCTGACTGCGGGGTCGGCCGGTCAGAAGGGCGCCGCCACCGGCGGCCGGGGTCGGTCGCAGGCGCGGGCCCAGCTGGTGACCTCCGACGCCATCCTGGAGGAAGACGCGGACGACCCGGGTGTCCAGCTGAAGCAGGAGGATCCGGCGCCGGCGGCTGTTGCAGCTGTGGAACAGCCGGCCGGCGGGGAGTCGGTGCTGCAGCTGGAGGCCGGCCTGGCCGAGCAGCTGCAGCTGGTGCTAGCCTCCCAGACGCCGGACGGCGCCTCCGGTCTGCCCATGGACACCGAGCTCCGTGTCCAGCTACAGATCGACGCTGACGGCAGGATTGTCGGCGTCGAGGCGGTGCCGCCGACGGAGGAGGAGACGGCCGGCGCGGCGGAGCCGGCGGCCGGCGGTGACGGCGGCGCCGAGCCGGCAGCGCGGCCCGACCCGGAGCAGGCGCGCACGCTCCGGCAGGTGGTGGCCGGCGCGCTGCAGGAGGTCGGCGCCACCGGCAGCCTGCGCTGCACCGTCTGTGAACGCGCCTTCACCAGCCAGGGTCAGTGGCGGCGCCACATGCGCACACACGGAGTGGAAGTGGCCGCGCCGGCGACCGGCCGCTCCGCGCACATCTGTCCCGACTGTCTGGCCTCGTTCCCGACGGCCTCTCAGCTGACGCGCCACCGCCGCACGCACACCGGCGAGAAGCCCTACAAGTGCGAGCTGTGCGAGCGAGCCTTCTCGCAGAAGAACGCGCTGCAGGTCCATGCCATGACGCACGTCGGTGAGCGGCCGCACACGTGCCCGTTCTGCGGCCACGGGTTCGCGCAGAAGGGTAACATGCGCACTCACATCCGGCGCGCCCATCTGAAGAGCGCGCTCGACACTCTGGTGGTGGACGCCGGAGCCGTGGAGGAGGGTGGCGCCCAAGGCAAAGCCTGAGCGAGGCAGGGGCGCAGAGACGGCGGCTGGGTGAAGTGTCAGCACGAGAGGGAATGAAGGGGGAGTGTGGTCAGTGGTGATAAATGCCAAATTGAGTGAAGTAGCGTTGAAGTAGTGGTGATGCTAAGGACTTGTGATTTTTCGAGATAAGTGATCTAATGTGTATGCAAGCATGGCGGTCGTGTGCTTCTACCAATGGAGGTGGCAGCATGAATCTCAACGGCTGTGATACGATTTGCGGGGAGCGTTTCATGACTCGTGTGTTGATGTTGCGATAATTGATTGGTGTAAATATGAAACCGAAGCCGTAGCCAATGTTGGTTCCGCTGCTCTTCAACTTATATCTCGTTTCGTTAGGCGCTTCGGTTTGTAATCAAGCTGCAGTAGTTGCGTCCGCGGTCCGACCCTGGATTATTTAAATTTCTAAACCGTCCGGGCAGGGTCTTCCCATATTGTTCTTTTGCTTTACAAAGACTCTGAGATCTCCATTTTGATTGCACGGTTAATAATAATTTGCTAGAATGCTAGTGCTGTCTTTAGTATTTTTACACGAGAAGAAGTGCAATCTACAACAGCTCGCACCAAAATGGCATTTTTCCGCAAATTTTCCTCAATCACGATACGTATGTTTTAGGGCCGTGATCACGATGTTGTAAAGTCCATGCTGTCTTCTTGTCCGGTTCTGCTTTACACCGCTCAGTGTTGACCGTTCCCAATTTGCCAAGTCGTGACCTAAATCAAGCTCATTCTTTTCGAAAACTCCAATCTTCCTCGATTTCAACAATCTACCAAAGACTCAGCCATCTCATCACCCGAGGCGCCATGTCCAAGAGCTTCGCGTGCCGTCCTCCGCCGGAGCGGGACGGCATCTGGATGAAGGATCGGTTCTACCCCACACCCCCTGGCGACCACTACCAGTCGACGGCCGGAGCGCTGTTCGCGGACCGCACCGACGCCGCGCCTGACCGGCCGCTGCCCAGGAAGTTCGAGCTGATGGAGACTCTACGTTCCGAGCACCTACGCTTCCCGTTCACCATGCACGACAACCGGTACCAGCACGAGACACTGGGGGAGAGCCTGCGCGGCACGTACCGCAAGGCGCGGCCCTGCTGCATCAACAGGGAACACTCTGAGAGTGAACCAGACGCTTTCATAGACACGGCCGGCCGGCCGACCAGCAAGCAGCGACTGCAGACCATCGCCAGGTAGGGAGGGACGGGACAGGGTTGAGGGTGGGCCTTCGCGTGGCGCAGGGGAGACCGGGGCTTAAGACCATCACTAGTTCCACACAGGAGACTGGAAGTGACTGGCAATCTTCCATTGCATCAGAACAGGGTAGCCACTAGCCAGCAATATTTTCTGGTGCGTATGATGGGGGAGTTCGGAGGGGATGACCTATCGCCTGGCTCGCATGCGTGTAGAGTATACTGCATGTGGTGGGAGTAACTGTCGTATTATACATTCTGCAATCATTAGTTTGTGACACCTCGTGATACTCCCTCTCCGTCCGCGGTTCCCGCAGGGAGACGTTCCGGGTGCCGGTCGGCGGGACGGCCGCGCGTGCACGCCGCTTCCCACACGAGCAGCGGTGTCCGTTCACGGACGGGAGCTGTGAACATCGGCCGGTAGCCCAGAGACGCTGTGAGCCGGCGAGCACCGGACCGCCGGCCGCCGCCGAGGCCTGAGAGGCGCCGATGGAGAGGCTAAGGGAGGTTTTCAAAAGGCCAGGCAGATAGTATTTCTTCCTGGTTGCGACGCCACGGAGAGAATCGGTGCCGAGACTGCAGCACAGCGTCAGTGATAATGCAGCGTGATGACTGATGAGTCAGTTCGCCCGGCCCAGGCTGATATTAGACCGGCGTAAGTAGGGTGCAAAACAGTGAAACTGAAGAGAGCCGAACCCAGAACCACAAACTGCTGCACAATATTGACTCAACAGCACCGTACCTATGCAGGATCAGCTAGAAGACGAGCCGAGCCTTCAACGAACGAGCAAAGAACGAAATATTTACGTGTGAACGACCGGCACCAAACGCCGGACCCAAAGAGCTTGAAACCACGATTCGGAATCATCGGACACTTTCAATCAGTCTTTCACTGAACGAGTGACCGAGTAATACCCAACTGTGTGAAGACGGAGCCGGCGGGAAGCACTGCTGATAGAGCGGTGTCATCTTGATGCGCCATCGAACCTCGTAGAACGGCCATCGACCAAAGAATGTAGTGTTTCTAGATCAGTCAAACACCAGTTTCAATATAAGCAACAATTCTTTATATATGGAATCTAAATAGTTTTCCTTCAACACTGGGTCAGATGACAGCATAACAGATCGATACATACAGTACATCGTGCTTTCTCAGACACTACATACATCGCATAAATATACGATGCGTGCATTGCTCTCATGCATACAGTTTGATTTGCTCTTGGTTGCACAAAACACAGTGGCAAGAGGTCATGACATCAATGCTCTCTTGCTGAACATCATAAAGCAACATTGCAGGATAAACGGAGGTGTCGACGCCAAAACCGTAGCTCGAAAACAAACATGACTTACATGGCAGGATAATGACTTACACGACGCACCTCCAGAATAAACATATTTTAACGGTTTCTGTGAAAACAAAAACATCACATAACAATTCATTATACAATGCATAGCGTCACACTGGCGGCTTGTACGTAAAGCGCGAAGCGTGAACATATGTAGTCAACGACTCAGCAGCCCTGTGCCTCCTTCGATATGAACCCCGGATACCAGGGGAATTATTTGCACACCCAACAGTTGTAGCCTTAGCCGACTGAATACTGCGGCGATAAACACATAGGCGCTGCTTCACCACAGCTGATATATAATTATATAGCCATCGACACCATCAACACGGCAGCGCTCAGATCCCGGCCGCAGGTACATTCGCTGACGACTCCGAATCGGCCCTCGTCGATCACTCGTTGGTATCCCGCCGACTACTGAGACTGAGCTGCGCCTGTCAGTCAAGCCATTGGTGTCTTGCCGACCACTGAGACTGACGGCGCCCGGGGTTCGCTTCTTACTGTCCCGCCATTCGCCAACCACTCAGCCCTAGGCCCCCAGCACTCTTCGGTCACTCGTTGCTGTCGGATCGCTCGTCGTAGTCTGACCCGTCGCCGTCGGCTCGGTGCGGTGACCCACCGGCCGACAGCGGGCTCTCGCGGCCGGCCAGCGCCGCGTGCTTCTCCAGCAGGTGCCGCCGCAGGTCCAGTCGGTAACCGTAACTGAGCGGACAGTGCGAGCACGCGTGCTTCCGCACCGAGTGCACGCGCTGCATGTGGCGAGAGATGTCCCGTTTGCGCATTATCCGGTTACAGACGGGACACGGCCGGTGGGTGGACGCTCCGCCCGCTAGGGAGGGGAGGGGAGGGGTACAGGTCACACACGGGACACGGTCTGTGGGTGCCGGGTGGACGCTCCGCCCGCTGGGGGGGGGGGGGAGGCGAGGGTAAAAATTTGATGTCAAATATTGGTACCTATATTCAATAGTTAAACAGTACAGGAACCAACGATGTTAACTATGACTTCGAATGGGTGTTGGACTTTTCCAAGTACACACGAGAAGGCAATCCTCACAAAGCAGGCCCGGCCTGGAAGTGGAACTCACCTGAACCGTCGTAGCCAAGTAGTTGTGAGGGATCTGAAACGAACAAACACAGCCGTTCATACACATTCTTTTGAAGTCACATTTAAAACATCACAAGCATATAGATTAATATTTTGTCCCATCTGCCCCTTTCCCATTACTCAGATGCTGCTGCGTAGAGCTGCCTTCCTTTCTATACTGTTCAATGAGCAGGTCCATTCCACCGCCACCGGTGGCAGTTTTCGCTGACGGATGGTACCCGTGGATGACCTGTTCCTTCCCCTTATGACTGACTCACTGACTACCCTGATAAATCAGTGTGGGGTTGCCACTCCACTCGTCCCCTTCATGGTCCACCGAACAGGTCCAGTCAATCACTTTATGGTGGCCAACTGCTGTGAGGAACTGTCCCCTCCCCCTTTTATGACTCGCCCAGAAATCTCAGTCCACCAATTTAAGGCGGTCAACCTCAGCCTGTTAGTGACTGTCCCCTATCCCCTTTATGACTCGCCGAGTAGGCTCGGTCCATTAAATTTATTGCAGTCAACCTGATCCTGTCATATAACTACCGTTCCCCTCTCCCCTTTATTACTCACCGACTAGGCCCAGTTTATCATTGCTGGTCAGGGTACACTATACAGCTACCCGTCCCATCTACCGCTCCCATAACCCACTCACCGAGCAGGTCCAGTCCGTCAATGGTGGTGAGTTGCTGCGAGGGGCTGCGGCACGACTCCAGGCTGGCGGCGCGCTCGGAGCGGTCGGCCCGGTCCGGCGGCTCGCCGCGTTCCTCGCCGCTCGGCTCCCGTTTGACCTCGGCTGACTCCAGGCGGAGCGGTACGCCGGAGGGTAGACGACAGGCGGCGGCCGCGGCGGCGGAGAGCTCCGGCAGACCCGACTGGCAATACAGAGGGGGAAGGGGGAGGGTCGCACACAGGCCCGGACATGGCACAGTGGTGTCTAAGTGAAAAGAGAAGACAGTGCTGAGTGGAACGGCAGCTTGTGTTGTTGTGACAGAGAAATCGGAAAACCCACACGACTTGCTACATTGACTATTGGATTACCGATGGCATTGACAACATATAAGACACGGAGACTGAAAACTGACGAAGTATAATTCGTCTGATATGTAAATTTACGCAAAACTAGATTTCGTATTATTCATGCAAGGAAAAACAAAACAACGTCATACAGACCACGCGGCACGCACCAAACACAAAGAAGCACAACGCTGCCACTCCCCCTCTCCCTCTCCCACCGTCGGTCGTGCGCCGCCCGACCACAGGCCGGCTGCGGTCGGTCGGACGCCGCTCCCCTCTCTCTCCCTCCTCCCTGCTCTCACCCTGTGGTCGTCGGCGCCGGTGCCGTGTGGCGGCGGAGGCTGGTGCTGCGGCTGGTGGTGTTGGTGCTGCGGCTGGTGTGGGTGGTGATGCTGCGGCGCTCCCGGGCCCACCGCCGGCTCCACACCGCCGCGACACAGCGGCGGAGGCGGCGGCGTCTCAGCCGCCGTCAACTCCGGTGGCGGTGGCGACGGTGCGTCGCCGGGGTCGCGGCGCGACCTCTTGCGCCGCGGAGTGGGCGGGGGCTGGGGCGGCGGCGGCGCGGGCGCGGCCGCCATGCTCAGGTCGGGCGGCCCCTGCTCGGGCAGCGTGATGACCGCCTGAACTTCCAGCTGCCGGACAGACGATAACAGAAATAAGATACAATTCATATCCAATTAAATTCTATTAATATTATGACCAAATCGTACATACAAAGGACAAACAAAAAGCCATTGCGATCCCGTTCTGGATACATTCCAGCACGAAATCGTTAAGAAATAATAAATCGTTTAATCGTTAATCGTTATAGTCGTGAAATCGATAAAAACGTCAAAAGGTCTCAGTACGACTAAATATGACGAACTCAGTTGCGTTCGTGCAAGCAAAGCACCGCTTCGGTAGATTTCGTTCCGCGCCACTGCTTACTTATTCTCTAACCACAGACAAAAAGTACGGCGGGCCACCTGGCACCTGGAACAAAATTAGACCCAGAGATTCACCAAAGTGCGCAGCAAGCCGGACGAGAAACGGGACAAACCGCAAACATGGAAGGATGCCGCACGGAACAGGAGTTTCTGAGAGTGATGCATCCACAGCTCCAGCCAAGCGCCCCGGTGCCAGTCCAGTCTATCTCACGGGATTACATCAGTGGGGTATATCCCCTAGTGCACAGTGACTCTGACTTACCGGCTGCTGCGTCATCTGTACGGGAATGATGGACTCAGAAGCCAGGCCGCGAATCTTCAGCAGATCTGTGGAAACATACACACACGATCGGACGTCAGCCCCAAAGTATATGAAATAATTATAGTTGGAACTTGGTCGACAAAGTACTCAAATGAGTGAACCTAGTGCATTGTCAAATCATAGACTTAATTTTGTTAATAAGAATGCATCGAAATCACGCAATGGTATCATACGACCTAATCAAATAAAGATAATTATAGGGCGGATCCCAATATGGCATCGGGACTTGTTGAACCCGATTCCGGCTCCCGCTGACGGGCCAGTAGCTGCTCGCTGCGGCCGCGCACGTACCTGCCGTCTTGATGAGCTCAGGCAGCAGGTGGTGAGGCACGTTGACCTCGCCGTGGTAGATGAAGCTGACCAGCCGGTGCACGTGCGCCGCCTGCACCCCGCTCGGCAGAACGATCGTCGGGTGGCTGCATGGGTTTTTCTGCGGAGAGACAACAGAGGACGAACTCACTTAAAAAACTGCACACCTTGTAGGTCAGAATGGTCAAATCTGGACAATATTACGATGGTGAGAACTAAAGTGGATGAGAAACTTCAGCTACAACAATTTACATGATAGCCATCACACCAGTTTTATGCATCGTTTGTTATTACAATTGCGCGAGTTTTCAAGCTTTCAGGAAGGGACGCCACCCACTGAAGAGAATGTATCAATGAAATCGCCGCCGGCGCCAACTCACCAGCAGGATCTCCTGGAAGAAGGGGCTGCACGCGGAGAGGACGCACTTGTGCGCGCTGATGACGGCGTCGTCGCAGGCCAGCGACACGTCCAGAAAATCCTCCCGCTCCAGGAAGCCGGAGAAGGCGTCAGCCAGCGACTCGTGGTAGTTGTTCCACCTGAGACAGAACTCTGGCGGCGTGCCCAGGGCGCCCGGGTCTGGGTGGCCCGGCGGCGGCGCCGCGCCCAGCGCCGCGTGCGGGTCCGCGGCCGCCAGCGTGACGACAGCGGGGACTGATGGGACAGTCGGACTACCCAGCTGGGCAGCTGATGGTGCAGTTATCAGCTGATAGGAGCAGTACAGCAGCAGTGCCACTGTCAGAGCCACAGATTGACAGGACTAGATGTGGCAACTAAGTGAGGATATAGCACTCTGTTGCTGCCTTTGCCCACCTTTTCCTCCTTGGTCCTAGCTGCAGTTCAGAGACTGTCTCAGCACTGAGCAGAGCTCCTTTCTGATCAACACATCAGCTGAAAGCTCAACTCCACAAGAAAGCCTCCATCACTCTGAAACAAGCATGAACAAAAAACAATCAAACTCAAGTACATATATTTTATAGCTAGAGGCCATGTATGTAGCAACTAAGCAGCAGGTGACTTGGTCACTGATTTCAACATCATAACCCATAAAAATGATGCAAAAGTGGAGGAAAATGCATACCTGTGCATATTATTGCCATATGGTCAATTTTCACAGCAAATATTTAAATTAAAAAAGTGCACTCCTAGATTAAGTGGTCCAGAACAGAACAGCCACAGAACAGTCAAAGATTTAATAAGCAAAGCTAGTGAGCTTACTTTTCATGCTATCAATACCCATCCAATAAAACAAGAAATGAATCTTAGCTGACAGCTAAATGCAAATGTCTCCACAAGCTTCAAACATAACACTATATAAAATGAGTAATTTTTGACTGACACATGTCACATTCTCCATTTATTTGTTAGGAGTATTTGTATTAGAGGTATGTAACAAACATTTAAACATATCTTCAAAATACTTATAAATACTAAGCCAAAATACTAAGCCTCCCGTTCCTGTAACTGAATGTAATGTATCCTCAAGGACACAGCTCAGACTGCCGTATTCACTGGATTATTTGCCCACTGGCACCATGTGGTGGCACTAGCAGAGCTTGTTATAAATGCTATTTATCAATGCTAGATATCATAGACTGAATATCTACCTCTTAATTTCTCTATTAAGTCCATCTACTAGGTGCATGCTTATATCTACATATTAATGGCTATCATACGTCATCAGCTGGCCAGCCAGCCGACACAATCCAGATATGACCAAGACCTCACAGTTCAGCCCTAGCCTACTTCAACCCATCTTAAAAATATCCTAAAAATGCCACTTTTAGGCTTTAGCCCTGGCATACCTATACAAGAAGGCCTGCCTTCTTGATAGTGTGATTCAGACTTATTATCAATAAAATATTCTCCTAAATGTAAAAAAACACATTCATCACCTCATTCTAATTTTGCAAACAGCAATGGCCAAAAAAGTCTGAAAAGATCGCCTTTGCAAAGGCGTAAAATCTGAAAATGCAAAAATGACTGATTTTAATATCATACTAAACACCAAACAATAATTTAATATATCTATCGATCTTCCTCGAGTTAATTTATCACTTGAGTTATCAATAAGTCATCAATAACTGTAAATAATCAGATGATAAACATTTGCGCCACATTCGCCTAATTTATGCAACGCTGGCCAATTGAGTGAAAGAACAACGCAAAAACGCATAGAAACAACTCCTGATTTAAAATAATAACCTTAAAGATAGCAATAGACTCAGTCGTCTAACAGGTAGACAAGTGAAAGACAAAGAGATCAAAAACTCACACCAAAGACTACCCACGAGCCGAGACGAGATCGCAGTGTTTTTGTTTACGAGTTCCATCGCTTGATAGCACTAAAATGCTGCAAAATTTCACTTGACAGGGGTATTTTGAGAACCGAGTCATCTCTCATCGTTTAGCAGCAGGGTAATTATATTCCGTTGTTCTGACGATAAAAATGAATTTGTATTGCATACAATTTCCATTTGCATTGCATTGCATTTTAAATGGTAGTTTTTTTTTTTTTGTTCGCTGCTGCCACAGACTTTTCTTCATTGGGCAGCTTTTAGTAAAGTAATATTGGCTATTAGGTATACATTGGTAATTGGTATACATTCACAACCACGCACGTTAGACAATAAAAATGACTGTCCTCAACAAAAACAGCATTTATTCGAGCATAGATAACAGTACTGTTATCTATGATTCGAGAAATCCCTTCTCTTGAGAACTCTCATGCATATTGAGTGAAAGTCACCTAAAACAGAACACTCTGAATGCGCATAACCAATATTTTCCGAAAAATGATAACAAATGACATGAACACATCTGCACCTTCTGTCGTCAAAGCATCACATTCGACGGTAAGCGCACGTCATTTACACTATGCTAACCCTTTCGAAATTCGAAAAGCTAAGCCTTCCATAACTAAAAGCTTAAGAAAACACTGCAAAAAGTAACCTTTTCAAGCACACAAAATACATTTCATTGCATACCCCACCATTTTATGACAAGGCCCTCCCAAATCCCCATATCACATAGCAGAGGCAAGGTGCTGTGATCACGACCAAATACCCAATCTGAAAACGATACACGCTGGCAAAATCAGCTTTAGTACCGGATACTTCGAATTTATGACGCACGCCATAAAAGGGCTCGCCTTATCACCTTGGGCTCGCCATCCTGCCCGGTTAGGCGCACCCCGAAATATCTTTCAATTTTACAAAGCACGCTACTTCACTGCACCGGTCACCGAAGACTCATCAGCTGTCCTCCCGGGTTACCAGAGCGGAGTTCCAGCCACCGGCGGCTACCCTGACCACGGTGCCTCGCTCCGGCAGCGGCAGGGCCCGGGGCGGTGACCGGTCACAGGGCGGCAGGGCCAGCTGACCGTGACCGTTCCAGCCCCAGCCCATCACTGAGCCGTCCTCTGTCGGAGGGAGGGAGGGGGGAGGTCAGAGCAGAGCAGACAGAGACCGGCCGTAGGATCGGGTATCGAACTCCTGACTCAATAACACATCCATGGATAGACTCTGATTTGAACTAAGCGTGTGACAAATTAGATAAACAGTTATTTTCCCAATGCATTTTGTGGAAAACACAGCTCAGAATAAGAATGTAAGTCCACTGCATATTCTCGCTTCAATCAGTCAAATACCGGCGATCACTACTGAGTTTTGAACCACAAACATCTCAAGTCAGAACCAAAACCCCTACAGCCCACGTCTTACCGAGCAGCGCCAGCGTGTGTCGCGAGCCGCAGGCCAGCTGAGTGACGGTGACGTCACTGGGAAGCGCGTCCACCAGGGCCGGCTCGGCAGCCACGTTCACTGTGTCGCCGAGCCCGAGCTGGCCGGACTCGTTCCAGCCCCAGGTGTACACGTCACCAGAGCTCGACAGCGCTGGAACAGAGTGGCGCTAGATGAGTGGACGGAACCGGACTGGTTTACACTTTACAAGCTACCTGGGACTTGGATAGTTATGCCGTGGACTGGAAAAGTCACGAAACTGAACACTTTCGACAGTGGGACGGAGAACGGCCTGATTTTGAATAGCACATCAGATAACATCATTAGTATTCGGTCAAGAAGCACAGCGCGGAAAGAAACGAGCCCACGAATAGCACAAGGAACGGACCGCTGAACCGACTAGTGGTGACAGACAGCCCACTACCAGTGACTTTCGCGCTCGTTATTCGCTAACGACGGGGGTAGTCTAATCTGGTGGCGACGATGGCCGCGTCACAAACTAGGCGGAGTCAAAACGGAGTGATGTGAACACAGTCCCAGTAACCCCGGCGCCGTCCCCCGCCCGTGACGCACCCACCTGCCGTGTGCCATCCGCCGGCGCACACCTGGGTGATGGCCAGTCCGTCCAGGGCGGTCACCAGCTGAGGCATGTCCGAGGAACTCAGCTCGCCGGTCCCCAGCTGACCTCGGCTGCGGACATAACAGTGGAATCAGAACAGACGGTATAACCACGATGATCTCGGCTGGGATCACATAACACCCAGAGACATCACTACGTGGGTCAGAGCTTAGCTTACCAGTTCACCTATAACAAATGTAACCACACATTGCCATCTACCGGTGATCGGTTAGAGAGCCATAGCCCATCCCTATAAGCGACAGGGTGGCCAAACTGCCGTCGCCGGAGATTGGCTAAGCAATAGTTAGTTTCGTTGTAGAGCCTGTCTGGTATCGTCGTCACTGACCTGCCGCCACCGAAGGTGAAAACTCGTCCGGAGCGTGTGAGCAGCACCACGTGCTCTCGGCCGCAGGAGATCGCCTGCAGCCGCTCACCGGCCGGTGTCGGTACCCCATCCAGGGTCAGCAGCGAGCCGCCTGGGTCACCAGGGGATGGGAGGCCAGTCATGGAGGTGTACAAAAACTCAGGACCCATTCAGAGTTGGCCAAGAGTGAGCTGGGTTACTGGCCTGTGAAAGGGAGGACTGAATAGGGTTTAGCCACATAAGTAACTGGAGCAATCATTGAAAACTTGAAAAGAAACATGGATCATGGATGGGATACCCCAGCTCATGATGGTTTAACCCTCGCCGGACCTATTGGTTTTCTACATACGCGCCGGCCGAGGGGGGGGGGGGGCGGGTACGACCCCCCCTCGCCGTTTCGCCCCTGGTGGAGCTAGCGCGTCGCGGAAAAAAACGAGCGTGTGCGCCGTTACGAGACGCAGAGATTGGTACCCAGTTTTAAAGTCCTAGGTCAACCGGTGACCTCTGAGGTCAGGTCAAGTGCCCCAAGGTACGGTTCAGTTGTTGGTGAATAACTTCGCAAAAAACGGCCGCAGAGCCGCGATTTTGGCAGCATCGTGTTCACCTCGATCAGGCGCATCGAATGATATACTTTTTATTCGGGTCAGGTCAACTTGGGGTGTTGACCTCATGTCAAGGTCAGGTCAGCACCCCAGGTCACGAAATTGGTCGAAAGAGGTCATGTCGCATATCATTCGATTCGGCAGGTCCTCCTGAGTCCATTGGTGGCTTTCCCGACTCGCTAGCTCAATTTGATCGGGAGTTATTGACGAAAAACTAATATGACCTTGATGACGTCATAAATGACGTCACGTAAGGTCAACATTGCAAAAGTGACGCATCTAACCTTGCAAGGAGTGCATCAAATCACGATTCTGTGTGCTTGAGATAGTTGGAGATCGTTCCCGGCGCCAGAATAGCAGTTTTCATTTTTCCCCATTGACTTATAATGGTGAGGTCACGAAAATGACCTGACCTCATATGACCTTTAGGAAAAATCCGAGATATACAAAATGTGAGACTCATAATGGATACTAGATACTGCAAGTTTCATTTCGCTGTGACATCTCCTCTGCCAGTGAGGGCGTTGCGAAGTTGCGACATCTGAAGACCATGCAGAGTTTCACGTATGACGTCATAGGTCAGTGACCTGACCTGATCCAAAAATGCGGTTGGTGTCAAAAGATCCGGCTTGGATCAAAGGTCAGGTATGCCAAGTTTCAGCTCTCTATCGCCAGCGTGTTCGGAGCTATCGCGAAAAAACCCTATGGGGGGGCGGCACCCGCCCCCCCCCCCCCCTCGGCCGGCGAGGGTTAAATGTTCCACTGGAATAATATTTGTAACCTTAAAGCAATTATTGCAAAGTTGGCTACTTTATTTGGGAACAGAAACCATTCTACATGATCAATGTCATGAGAGTGAGCTGCTGACCTGTGTCACAGGCAGCCAATGTGTGTCTGCCGATGCTCACATGACGTGCAGGCTCAGCAGTCTCCTGGCCAGCTGACTGGAGTGCTAGTCGGCGCCAGGCAGTTGTCCTTAGCCAGGTGGAGCCATCAGGATACAGAGCCACCAGCCGATCTTCAGCAGAACGCAGCTGATGGACAAAGAAAACTTAAGTCATTAAAATTTTGAAAGGATGCAATTCAAGGCCACAACTGATGGACAAACAAGGCTGGAAGAATCCAGCTGATATCCAGATAGCTACCTATGACCAGCAGGTTGGCTACCCAGTGCCCACTGTTAAGTCATTGACTGGGCTCATAGCCAGGGCTTCAGGGGTACTGTTTCTGAGGGGTACTGTTCATGAGCTGAGGGGTGAATGGACATGTCAAGCCTCAAGGGCCAGCAATAGCGGGAGATGTATTGGTAAATGGGAGCATGAGAAAACTGCTTTCTTACTATGATATATGTTGTAAATTACAATGTTCCATAGTCCTCATGATATCAAAATATATTGTGAGGATGACATTCAGGAGTAAATCAACAAAGCTATCCAATATCATTGATTGAAATTGGATCATGGATGACTATTTTACCATGCTTGGTGTTTCTTGTTCACATCCAGGTGGTGCTTTGATAGTAATTCCATTTTGTTGGACATGCCCTGAGGGTAAAAACACAATCATTAAAATAAAAAACTTATGATATAAAAAACAAATTAAACAAGATTCTCTGGAGCACTTGTCCTGACAGTTTCAGAGTAAGAGGGCTTTATTTTCCGAGGAGAAGGTCATATATTCTAATGATACTTCCTACATTTATCATGCTCCTCGCAGCAGCTCTCAACGATATAAGAGGGTTTTATTTTAAGTTCACTGATTTAGCATGAGTAAAGTTGATAATACTTAATGACTTAATGATGATTCAAGACATCAACACTTAAACAATTTCACCAGTTACACACTCATACTGGAGTTCTATAGCCTTGCTCATACTAATTCAGTTGGGCAAACTAGGCGGCGGGAATCAAAATATGGAGGCATCAAAATATTGATTCTAGTGGGCGGAGCTTTGACCATATATGGGCATACGTGCAGACCATCACAGAAACGTCAATTCTTCAGCAACCGGCTACAATTTCAAGATAGTTTCTTCACAAAATGAAGAGCAACATTGAAGCTACCCGCCAGGCACGAAACAATAGCCCTAACCTCTTTGGTTAGTTTAGGAAAGCGTCTTGAAACTAATCAAGATATTGATTCATCACGGCGGCTAATCCCGGCGAGAATCAATATTTTGATTCCGCAATCAGCTGGCTAATCATTATTTTGATTCTGAAATCAGCTGGTTTATCAATATATTGATTCTGCGAACTGACTTTCTGCAGACGTGCTTCACTCTTCAAATTGATTTATGGAATGTTTCTTGTGTGCAAATAATGCAAATTCAATAAATTCATGAAGATATTATCAGCACAGGATCGTGTAATTTTTTCTAGACCTTATTCCCACGGTAGACCAGGGATTTTCAGCACTCACCCTGGCTCCCTGCTCAAAGCTGCAAGCCTTCGAGGGAATGCGTGAAGGGAGCCGTGCTGACCTTCGTATAGGGGTTGTAGTTGTACTGAGTCGGAGCCGGAACCGAAGCCCGACCATTTTACTCGGAGCCGGAGCCGGAGCCGGAGCTGGAGCCGATTTTTTCCTCCGGAGCCGAAGCCGTCTGACATTTTCACGGCTCCACATCCCCGCTTTGTAGCATTGATTTTGAGTAAAAAAAAAGTTAACTTATCGTCTTTCACGTGTTCATGAATGTGTTTCTACGCATCTGTATCCCGTCCCATTTCTGTGGAGTACCTACAGTAAGAGATATTTCGCCGAACAATATACTCAAGCCCGTTGCACAAATTGCACAATTTGAATGAAAATATGATACACGGATGTATTTGCATTCGCAAATAATACGATGATATTCATAACACATTTCACAACGATCCCTGCAATTGCCACACATTTGCCATCACAAAGCCCTGTCGTTGATGCTCACATCCCATGCAAAGCAATACCTACTCACTTTTAGGACACGTCTCTTATTCAATATGGTTACGTATTTGCAAAACATGCAGTTAATAATATTTGAAACTGAGACCTAACCAATAAGACATACCGTGGACAGGTAAGAAAAAAAAACAAATAAACGTCTGGAGAATGACCTCAACGTCTCGATGTTGCCTAATTACAAAGAGCAATTTTCGGTTTCGAATCAAATACATCAAAACAAAATTTGTACAGATACACTCAATATAGGGTTTATGATTAGCACGGCTACCTAAAACATCAATCCTGTCAGGTTGAGCCACTTATGTCCACACCCAAAGCAGGTCGCTTTGGAACACCACAAGATCCCATATTACCACCGAAAACGGTCACCAATTGGTCTACTGATCGGCATCTTCAGAACATTCTCGACCGAAAAGCTATCAGTCCTGTCTGTGTTTTGGTTCGCTTCATTTGGGCTATGCGCACGTTTTTCTACTCCGGTTCTAGGGACGAGATAGCAGTCATCACGCGCTGCACCAGCTCGTTCTTTGACAGGTTGGTGACGCTGTCGTCATCCGGCAGGATAAACACGTGGCGCATTTCACCCTCGGCCCCGCCAGCCACATACACACTTCCTAACGTCATACTGTTTCTCGCCACGAGATCAAAGTTCAAAAGGTCGTGATGTAGGTAGTCTCCGCCCAGCCCGAGTCAGGTACTCCACCGGTTGGTCGGGTGCGGCCAGGTCCGCGCAACGCCGCCCTACTTCGGTCGACGCTCTGGTTGACAGGGATGGCGTTGTCATACAGTTGCCTGTCGACTGAACAGCGATTCAAGACGCCATCCTTGACCCTCTGAAGCCGATCCCCGCAACGACCAGTGTTTGATCCTTGGTTGACCTGCAGCAAACAACAGAACACAATAATTAGGACATTTGTGGACAATAAATTAGGAAACTATATGTGTTATTAATCTACTTGTTCAGCAACTATTAATTTTAGAATATATTCAATAAAAAATTAAATACTTAATGTCACTTAAATTTCCACTGAATGCCACCAGGTGCGCCAACAAATGTCATTTCATGCAGTTATATAAATTCTGCCAAAAAAGTAGATCTGAGGCCAGTTATACCAACAGAAAAATAGGTGGCTGCTGGATTTTTTTTTTGTCTAAAAGTTACTTCACATACAGAGCATGAACGGTACAGCCCTATCCGTTTACGTGCCCATCATGTTAACGCTCCATATGTGAAGCAGTCTTTAGGCAAAAAATTCCAGCAGGCAGCTATTTGTGTTGATAAAACTGGCCTCTAAAATTAACTTTGGCATGGACAATCCTGAAAATTAACTATCCAGCATTCCCTGGACTGACGTACATTAGATGATTAGACACGTAATTTTCTTGAAGATCACGCATAATGTAAATATGGCTTACACCATTCAGCAACTTGCTTTTGTTACACTTAAAATAAGCATCATTAAATATGTAGCAAAATTGGGCGAAGCAATTACAAGCCAAGCATACATGCCTACTATTTAGATAAGGCAAACACGAACATGCACTACGACCTTTCAATCTTAACTCGGAACAAGTCAATAACCTAGTTGCCCTTAAAAATTTAAATGCTACAAATTAAAGTTGTAGCAACAATTGGGTGAGTGAGACACAAGCAGAGGCTAAAACATCCAAATTATGTAAAATACTGGACATGCACTGCTCCCATTTCATGAGTCCACCCAACAATTCTATCATGTGGGACAAAACATTAGGCTTCTTGTAACTAATTTATACCGTAACTTTTAAAGGACATCATATTTCACTGAAATACTACACCTAAGACATCATTTTCAAAAAAATATAGCTTAAAAAGACAATAGAAGGTGAGAAGGCGTCCCGCGCCGCTGACGTCGCTACCGCGCCATGTTCCTAAAACCATCTCTTAAAACGAGTTTTCGGTAAGAAACGTTAAGATCACATGCCTGAAATTGAAAAACACACTTCAAAGTATCTTAAAATATGATCCATTGTTACTTACACTTCAGAAAAGGTCGCTTAAACAAAATAAACCCGGGAGCACTACTTTGCATCTAAACACACACGACGCCGGCGCGAAATGGCGGGAACCGGAAATCGTGGCTAGATACAAAGAAAAACAATATTTCTTATAAATGAATTATACAACTAAATAACGCATTTTTTATTTTCTTTTAGACAAAATTATGAAAAATTACAAAGGCTCGTCGTTAATGATAAACAGAGCAAGTTTTAACAGCACGTTTTTGTTGAATTATGGCGGCGAAATCTTTATGCCATTCGTAAAGGTACGCGCGACAAACGGCTGATAGCCATGCAGCGAAAAATTGAAGCGGAGAAGTTTTTTGTATTGACTTGTCAAAAAATCTCGCCGTCATGGGGGTTATTTCCGCCGTAACGGGTCGTCTGAAGGTGGGAATGTCCCAAAATGAATCAAAATATTGATTCTATGCCCATATATGGTCAAAGCTCCGCCCACTAGAATCAATATTTTGATGCCTCCATATTTTGATTCCCGCCGCCTAGTTTGCCCAACTGAATTACCATTAGCACATATGTAGATGTAACGGAAGTTAGCAGGGATTCAGCAGGGGTTCAGCAGGGATTCAGCAGGGATCGACGGCCCCTACGATTTCGCTGAATTTTGGTGGAGAGGTGCAGAATGGTGTCCTCTATCGAAAATCCTAGTGCCAAAATGCGGGGAATCCATCAGGGGGGCCACAAATCCCAAAAAACAGTATGCCCTCAGGGCACAATCGACGAACTTTGAAAACCCTACTTCTAGCCGTCAAAACAGCTAAAAATGCACGTCATTCGAAAGAGGACAAAATTTTACATGCAACGGTACCAAATTTAGGGGGCTAGCGCCCCCCTGAACCGAACAAAACAGCTTCAAATATATGGGCCCGGGAGTATGCCCTCGGGGCATAAATAAACGTTTTCAACAATTTCAGGCCTATAACATCGACAAAATCCAGCAAAATGCACATCATTGGAAAGAGCGTAATTTCCCAAACAAAAAACCCAAGTAACATTTTTCGATGGGGCCCACCTGGGGCCCACAGGACCCAATTGAAATTTGGGGCCCAATGAGGCGGCCCCTACGATTTTCTTCAAAATTTGCACAGACACTCTCCTGGGCCCCCTCTTCAATCTGGCTGAAGAAACCTACCGGGGAATCCAAAGGAAGGGGCCCAAAGAGGGCCCCAAAGAGGCCCTTTCTAAGTATTGCCCCTAATTTCGCGACCAACCCCGGCAATATGCACATCATTGGAAAGAGCGTAATTTCCCAAACAAAAAACCCAAATAACATTTTTCGATGGGGCCTACCTGGGGCCCACGGGACTGAATTGAAATTTGGGGCCCAATGGGGCGGCCCCTACGATTTTCTTCAAAATTTGCACAGACACTCTCCTGGGCCCCCTCTTCAATCTGGCTGAAGAAACCTACCGGGGAATCCAAAGGAAGGGGCCCAAAGAGGGCCCCAAAGAGGCCCTTTCTAAGTATTGCCCCTAATTTCGCGACCAACCCCGGCAATATGCACATCATTGGAAAGAGCGTAATTTCCCAAACAAAAAACCCAAGTAACATTTTTCGATGGGGCCCACCTGGGGCCCACAGGACCCAATTGAAATTTGGGGCCCAATGGGGCGGCCCCTACGATTTTCTTCAAAATTTGCACAGACACTCTCCTGGGCCCCCTCTTCAATCTGGCTGAAGAAACCTACCGGGGAATCCAAAGGAAGGGGCCCAAAGAAGGCCCCAAAGAGGCCCTTTCTAAGTATTGCCCCTAATTTCGCGACCAACCCCGGCAATATGCACATCATTGGAAAGAACGTAATTTCCCAAACAAAAAACCCAAGTAACATTTTTCGATGGGGCCCACCTGGGGCCCACGGGACCCAATTGAAATTTGGGGCCCAATGGGGCGGCCCCTACGATTTTCTTCAAAATTTGCACAGACACTCTCCTGGGCCCCCTCTTCAATCTGGCTGAAGAAACCTACCGGGGAATCCAAAGGAAGGGGCCCAAAGAGGGCCCCAAAGAGGCCCTTTCTAAGTATTGCCCCTAATTTTGCAATCAACCCCGGCAATATGCACATCATTGGAAAGAGCGTAATTTCCCAAACAAAAAACCCAAGTAACATTTTTGGATGGGGCCCACCTGGGGCCCACGGGACCCAATTGAAATTTGGGGCCAAATGGGGCGGCCCCTACGATTTTCTTCAAAATTTGCACAGACACTCTCCTGGGCCCCCTCTTCAATCTGGCTGAAGAAACCTACCGGGGAATCCAAAGGAAGGGGCCCAAAGAGGGCCCCAAAGAGGCCCTTTCTAAGTATTGCCCCTAATTTCGCGACCAACCCCGGCAATATGCACATCATTGGAAAGAACGTAATTTCCCAAACAAAAAACCCAAGTAACATTTTTCGATGGGGCCCACCTGGGGCCAACGGGACCCAATTGAAATTTGGGGCCCAATGGGGCGGCCCCTACGATTTTCTTCAAAATTTGCACAGACACTCTCCTGGGCCCCCTCTTCAATCTGGC